ATTTATTCAGATTTTCCTATTTTAATTGGTAAAGTCTTTCACAAACTCTTCTGAAATCAAAAATGAATATAATGGAGTTCTAACTATGATATCTCAAATTGTATTAAACCCATGACCACTTTTCTTCATCAAGTTTTTAGTATGAAATCATTATAGATCTCATGTTGGAGATAGACTTCTATGCTAAATCTTTCACTTGAATTTAATCACTAATTTTAATATTCGTTAACTAAAGCGAATTTAAAAACTATCAGCCCAAATTTTTTCAAAATGACGTCTTATGGTTCCATAGTTCCATATGCTAAATCTTAAAAACACTTGCATGCTTGAAAAGATTATCGAGGCTTTGGTCACATAATTTCATCCTCTTAACATCTGTTTTACTTTTTGGGATGCTTTATGTAGAAATAGAAAACTTTGGTACATAAAATTGGCATATAAACCAAAATCTACAACTTTAGGCAAAGAAACATATAAAAATTGAAAACAAATTAAAAATCCAAATTTACAATTATGAAATTTGTCTGAAAAGACTATTAGAATACGAAAAAATAATTTAAAAATCCAATCTCTACAGTTATGGGATTTTTATTTTATTTAAATTTGTTTCCAAAATAGTTACTTACTTCCATGATTTTAGTTGTATTATTTCTAATTTTTAAAGTTAATAAGATTTATCAGTCCCTTCATTTGGTTACAAATTTTGGTTTTTACGTCTAAAGTTGTGAAGTTTTATGCATAAGAGAAACGTATTGGTAAATTTTACAATTACTTCCCAATAATTTGTTGCATGAGAGAAATACGACTTTTTACAAAACAAAAATTCCTTAGTCATCATTAGTCATTACAACTAAAAATATATTTTTTTTCTTTAAGTATTTTGTATTCATCTTCTTGACTCCTTTTAAAGAGATATTATTTGGACTTTTGAGCATACAAATAAGTTTGATTACAACAGAACAAAGATTTGTCAAGATTTAAAATCTGAAGGCAACATACAAACTAAAAAGATTTGTAATCCAAATGCAAGATATAAACAAAGAGATGATTATTCACCTTTAGTTCCATAACTTTATGTTGTTGACTTCCTGATATTCATTAAGCTTTTTTCAGAGATTATGCAGTTGATCTTTTTTTGTTTTCTCAAATTATATTTGATTTTTTGTTGGACTTTGATTTTTTGTTGGACTATCTTCATCAATAATCAATAGAATAACAAGAAGTAATGGTATATTCTCTCTCACTAAAATCGAGAAGAATTTTCCAAAAAAAAAATAAAAGAAGATAAGAAGTTTATTGTTCCTAAGAGTTTTTTGTATTGTATTTAATGATTTAGGATTTTGGTGTTTTCTAAACAAATTAAAAATCAATAAAATAAATTATAAATTATTTTGTAAATCTGATGTGTCAAAATAATAGATGCTGATGTGTCAAGATTGTGAGACACAACTCAATTTTTATATAATAGATCAATTGAAAATAAATGAATTAGCACAAATCTTTCATAAATTAATGTTAGTTCCTTTAAATGTAGGATTTTAACATCTATCATGGCTTGGTGAGCAAATTTGAAACACGTTACTATATTAAATTTTAGCAGAGCACACTATTGACACTAGAAGATTGTGACTTGCCCTAAGCATTTAACTCATTCGAATTTATGGCATTGCTATATTAAGTACTTGAAAAAGACAATCTACGTACCAGACAATCAAAGATTGAAGTATTATTACATACCACGTGGAAGAGCTCTCAGTATTTTGCTTGAATTAGACCTTTAATTATACCTTCTCTTTTGCCGTAAGCATTTTTGTTTTGGTAAAAATGTTTATTTTTGTTTGTTTGTTGTATTATTTCATTTTGGAAAACTCTACACGATCACTTTAATAAAATATCGTGTTTATTAATCCCAACTACTAAATCAAATATTCTAGCCAATCACCAAATATACTCTAACAATTAAAATCGTATATGCAAAATCAAAACTGGTTCGTATATAAATTGAGTTTTTTTTTTAATATTAGTAATACAATTCTGAATAAAATAGAACATAATCGATCATGGAATCGGTGATCGAATTCTTAGCTTTCCGGTTTATTCATCATCTTCTATTTTTGTTTTTGTTTTTGAGAAAGAGAATACACATTATTCATTTCAGGTCCGAATACAATCTTAACATCTAGACTTCTATTATTTGTATTATTTTTTTTTTTAAAATGTATATTATTTATCTGTAAGCTCTACTACTATGTTAAGTTTCATTGACTTTTAATTCAAAATTAATTGAAAATAAATGAATTGACACAAATCTTTTATATATTAATGTTAGTCCCTTTAGATTTTAACATCTATCATGTCTTGGTGAGCAAATTTGAAACACGTTACTATATTAAATTCTAGCAGAGCACACTATTGGCACTAGAAGATTGTGACTTGCCCTAAGCATTTACCTCATTCGAATTTATGGCATTATTATATTAAGTACTTGAAAAAGAAAATCTACCAGACAATCAAAGATTGAAATATTATTACAAACAACGTGGAAGAGCTCAATATTTTGCTTGAATTAGACCTTTAATTATAGCTAAAGGAGTATTATGTAGAGATGATTTAATTTTTAAGAAAATATAATAAACAAATATTAGATATGTTAATGAATTGAAAAAAATATATATTGAAAAACCATAAAATTAAAAATATATCAATTTATATATATATATATATATATTAGTGTTAGTTTCTTTAAAATTATGGGAATCTAGTCTCTCCCTCACTTTTTACAAGGGGATATTTGACGGTTTTTCACACATATATATATGTCATGGTTTAATTTAGGCCTGTACCCATATGTTTATTTTTGTTTTTTTCTTTGGTAAAAATGTTTATTTTTGTTTGTTTGTTGTATGAAAATGGTCTAATGGTTAAAGTATCACTCTGAATGCTTTTCTTTGGTAGAGTTTGAAACTTCATACCACAATGTCAATCATCTTGCCCTCCCGTAAACGTTTTCAATTGCATGAAATCTTGGATTTCTATGGATCTTAAGGAACTAGTCTGAGTTTTAGTTTTTGATTCTTCGGATTAACAAAAAAAAAAAAAAATTGACAAAGCTTTTGGAAATTCACTCGAAGTTATGGCCTAGTTTGTTTTTTATTATTCTCTTTCCCACCATGCATTACAAGATTGATTTTTTTTTTTATAGCCATTCCATACGATACTAATTAAATAGTTTGATTAACCTAACCGAAAATTGTAGTTTTACAAAACTAAAAGTACGTGAACGAAAATTAATTCTATATTTTATATGAAAATTTTTTGGGTTCACCATTAGGAGTGAATCACTTTATTCACCCCCTCTTATTTTAACTATTAAGAATGTGACATCTAATATTATATTTAAATAGAAATAAAAAATAAATAATTAAAATTAAACAAATAAAATAAATTAAAAATATAAATAAAAAAGAATAAAACAAATGAACCCAAACATAATATTAAACTTTATTTATAATTAATATTGGGTCAACATATATTTTTATATAATTATTTGTTCTATTCTCAGAATTTTAATCCCTAATCTCTAAATTTTCAATTTTAATTATACTCTAAATTATAATATGTAAATATTTAAGAAACTAAAAATAAAAACTAAACCCAAATCTCTAAACTCTAATCTATCAACCTAAAAAATTTAAGAAATAAAAACTAAACCTTAAATTTTAATTTTTAAATCCTGAATTCTAAATCATGGACCTTAGAAATATATAAAAAGATCTATATATATTATTTATTTATATATAAAGATACATATTTTTATAAAATATTTAAGTAAGTGTTTTAATATTTTATTAGTTAATTTGTCCACACCTCGCGTGGGCTATATATGTCTACCAAGAATAATTTTATAAAGAAATGATTTGAAGAACATTAATTTTTTTTTATCTCTATTCTAAGTTAGAAAAATCCAAAATTTACAAATAAGCTTTTGATTTTAACAAAAGGGTATATAGATAAAAAATCAAAAATCCTAATCATATATAGATATCATAATTAACGATATTTCATTAGACATATAGATTTCATTTATTGTTTTTTTTTTACTTTCTTTTAGATTTTTACTAAATTTTGGTTTTATAAAATTATAGAAATCAAAAACCCTATAAACATAAGAAATCGTAAACACTATAATAATTAGCGATATTCTTTGTTTATTTTTTTTGTTTTTAAAACAAAATTTTGTCTAATTTTTTTTAAAATTTTGGTTTAATATAAATTTAAAAATGGTTTGATTGATTATGAAATTAAAAATAGTAATTTAGATTGGTTTGTTTTAAATTTTTTTTTACACATCATCAGATAAGAAACAATAAAAAAATAACACATAATAGGGCTAAACAGTTTTTTTGCAACCAAAATTCATTTTGAAATTGATACGTAAGCAAAAAACTGTGAAATTCGCGGTGAGTGCGACATATCAGCAAATCACTACACAACTAAGTATATAGATTTTTAAGTTTATATTTTTATTTAAAATAATATTAAATGACATATTTTATTGGCTAAAATAAGAAAGAGTGAACAGAAAGATAAGTTTTTCCGTGAGGGGTCATCCTTTAAAGAACCTTTAATTAATATGACAAATATTTCCATCTACAGCCGTCACTATGGGCACTGAAAAAAATCATTGTGCTCACAGTTATCTTGCGTCTGTCACCATACCAAAGCCTCCCATATCTTGAAAATTCTAACAAATTAACAATTATTTTTCTGCCATGGGATATTTAATACATGATCTAATTAATTTCGCTTGAGTGTTCATATATAGATGAAGATACAGTTCTTATTTTCTAAATAGTCATTGAATAATATTTTTGTCTATGTTTTAAAATGCAAAGATTGTTGATTAGGTCTTAATTGATTATGTGCATAAAGATTTATTTATAAGAGGAGTAAACGACCGCTATAAATTGAGTACTTCTCTATATGTTGTAAAGAAGAGAGAACCATATTTATAAAACAAAACAAAAAAGTAAAAAGAACGAAGAATCGATGGAGACGATGAAGGTTGAAACAATCGCTAAAGAAATCATAAAACCATCTTCCACAACTCCTCTTGATCTCAAAACTCTCCAACTATCTATTTATGATCACATCCTCCCACCCGTATACACAGTCGCCTTTCTCTTTTACACCAAAGATGATTTGATCTCTCAAGAACAAACATCCCAAAAGCTCAAGACTTCTCTGTCCCAAACCTTGACCAAATTCTACCCTCTCGCTGGAAGAATTAACGGAGTCACCGTGGATTGTAACGACGAAGGAGCTATCTTTGTCGACGCTCGTGTCCACAACTTCACTCTCTCTAGTTTCCTCACGTCCCCAGATTTCAAAGCCCTCCAACAATTGCTTCCTCTAGACTCCGTAGACAACCCTTACGAGGCTGCTGCTACATGGCCTCTTCTGCTCGTAAAGGCGACTCACTTTCAATGCGGCGGCATGGCCATAGGAGTCTGCATCACTCACAAAATCGCCGACGCAGCCTCCATCTCCACTTTCATAAGAACTTGGTCTGCTATGGCTAAGGGAGATGCTGGAGACGCTGTGGCCGGTCCCGAGTTTGCTGCAGCTAATTTCTACCCACCAGCCAATGAGGCGTTTAAGCTTCCGGTTGACGAAAAAGCCAACAAGAGAAGCAGCATCACGAAGAGATTTGTGTTCGGTGCGTATAAGTTGGAAGAGCTTAGAACCAAAGCCGCTAGTGCAGAAGCAGTTGACCGACCTACGCGTGTGGAGAGCGTTACTACGCTTCTCTGGAAGTGTTTCGTCGCTGCTGCATCCTCAAAACCGACAGAGACGACTTGTGATCACAAAGTTCTGATCCAGCTCGCTAACTTGCGCTCCAAGATACCTTCTCTTCTCCCTGAAAGCCTAATCGGAAATATCATGTTCTCTTCTGCGGTGTTAAGTATTGGTCGAGAAGGGGAAGTGGAAATCGAAGAGGCCATTAGAGACTTACGAAAAAAGAAGGAAGACTTAAGAATTATGATCCAAGAAGAGGATGGGTCATCTTCGATGATCGGTTCTAAACTAGCAAATCTGATGCTTACTAATTATTCGAGGATGAGCTATGAAACTCATGAGCCCTATACTGTTAGTAGCTGGTGCAAGTTACCACTTTACGAGGCCAATTTTGGATGGGGATCTCCGGTTTGGGTCGTTGGAAATGTGGCTCCCACGTTAGAAAACATAGCTATGTTGATCGATTCCAAGGACGGACAAGGAATTGAAGCGTTTGTCACACTGCCTGAAGAGAACATGTCGTCGTTTGAACAGAACCAAGAACTGCTCGCCTTTGCTTCCCTGAATCCTAGTGTCCTAGTCTAGATCCTGCACTCAAACCTGTTGTTTTCTTAATAAAAATTTGGATACATTTAATAAATGTCTTCAAGATGTGATACAAAATATGTAACCTTTTGGTAAATCATGTAAGCTTTCATTTATTTTTTTGAGCAAATAAAGTTCCATTCTATCTAAGTAATTCTTCGTGTGTTAAAACGTAATTACAAAAAGCCTAATGGAGATGAGATGTTATCATGAAAAGAGTTGTGTTAAAAGTTAATGGTCCAATATCATTATATCCATGATTTCCATAATAGTAACAATGATGTTACGACATTTTTTACCTTTTTAGAAATGAATGAAAACTACATAAATGAAAGCCTAGCTAATGGATTTTTTTTTTTTGGAAGAAGACCTCAAGATTTTTCTTCCAAAATTCAAGTTTTTTTTTTATTAAAAATTTTCCATAGATTCAAACGACTTTTTCATATATGTATTGTATACCATCGAGTTCATCATACGTATAACATTTTCCTCCATCATCAAAACATTAAATTATTCAGACTCCAAATTTGATCCAAAAAAAAAAAAAATTACCAGACTCCAGATTTGACCCAAAAAATAAAAAATTATCAGACTCCAGATTTGACCCCAAAATAAAATTAAAAATTATCAGACTCCAACAATGCAAGTCCGTAAAATGAGGCAGAGGACCTGCCGTAACAGACGACGGTCACTATTGTCCACATGTGGTGGAGACATGGAGTTGTCTGTTAGTCTGTTACTTTCATGATTCTCGCTGAGACGTCTGTTCACCCAAATGGTCAATATAGTATATGACAAAACCATATACAGAAACCATATATATATATATAATATTAAATATATAATATTAAACATCCAGTTCTCTGCAAATTGGTTTTAATTAGTTCAAAACCGTGTTGTAGTTCAGACAAATACAATATTTTGTTTGGGTAGACAATCTATTTCCACACGAGAACTATCATATAACCAGTGACGGAGCCACTTACAAGTTATTAGGGGTCATTGGCCCCCAGTGGATTTTTAAAAATTAGAACAACTTATTAAAGCCCAGTTTTAATGCCCCATTGATTAAATTATATATGCCCCCATTCTCTTATTTATTAAACACAAACTAATAAAATTGGATTTTTAAGCCCTTAAGCCCAATAAACAAACAAACACAAGCTTGAAGCTACTAATAAAAACAAAAAAACGTGATTGATAAAAAATGAAGAATTCCACATCGACATCTAGTGAAACAAATTCTAATAAAGGCTGCATATATATAGTTTATTTTATTTTAGCAACATCAATAATTTTTTTGGGCTTAAAAGTTAAAACATAAAAGCCTACGTTTAAAGAGCTTCCGCTAAATCAAACGGAACTCGGGTAGATCAAACATTGCTTTGGTTTGATTTGGCCCACCGATTTAATTATCGGTTCACGGAGTTTTAATTGGTTTTTTTGGATTTTTAAAGTTTTTAAAAATCCGATTTTACTAGCTAATTTAGATCGGATCGTTAGCTGGTTTTTAATTAAACCGATTTAACCAACCGATCTAATCTGAGTTTTAAACATCACTGCAAAAATAGCATACTATGAATCAATTAGTAAGTCTTATATATTTGTTTAATTATTTATTTTAGTTAATTTTTTAACTTAATTTAAATTAGTAACACAATTATTTTTTTCTCAGTTGATGGAAAAGTTTTTGAAAAGAAAATCCGCCTCAACATCTGAGACTGAGAGTAATTTGGATGATTTGCCATGGGATCCTGCTAAACGGAAAAAGATTTTGGAATATCATCCAAATAAAAGAGATGAGGTAAGACGCAAATATCTTGATAGAGGTCCTTGTAAGCCTTATGGTCATAATTTTTCAAAAAAAATGATAGGAAAATCATTAGAATATTTAATCCAGCTTGGTTTGATCAGTATGCTAACTGGCTTGAGTATAGCGTATCGAAAGATAAAGCCTTCTGTTTGTGCTGTTACTTGTTTAGAGATGATATACAAAAACAAGGTGGGAATGATGCATTTGTGACCGAAGGTTTTTCTAGTTGGAATAAATCTGAAAGATTAGCTATTCATGTGGGTGCTATGAATAGCTTTCATAATATTGCTGTTAAGAAGTGTGATTCTTTGATGAATCAAAATCATTCTATTGAGCATGCTTTTTATAAACAAGATGATGTGGCAGAAAATGAGTATCGTATTCGGTTAAATGCTTCAATTGATGCTTCTAGATATTTGTTGCGACAAGGATTATCTTTCCGTGCTCATGATGAGTCAGTAGAGTCTGATAATAAAGGGAATTTCAAACAACTCTTGAAATACACAGCAGAACAGAACGAGGTTGTAGGTAAGGTTGCTTTGGAGAATGCTCCAAAAAATAACCAAATGACTTCTCCTCCGATTCAGAAGGATATCGTACACTGTTTTGCAGAAGAAGTTGTGAAATCTATTATAGAAGAAATTGATCATGGTGTTTTTGGTCTATTGGTGGATGAATCTGCTGATGTTTTACATAAAGAACAAATGGCTGTTGTTTTTCGGTTTGTCGATAAGATAGGAACAATCAAAGAAAGATTTATTGGTGTTGTTCATGTAAGAGACACATCTTCCTTGACTCTCAAGCATGCTATAGATGATTTGTTTGCTAAGTATGGATTGAGCTTGAAAAATATAAGAGGTCAAGGTTATGATGGAGCGAGTAACATGAAAGGTGAATTTAATGGTCTCCGGTCTTTGCTTCTAAGGGAAAACAGTTCAGGCTATTATGTTCATTGCTTTGCTCATCAACTTCAGTTGGTTGTAGTGGCAATTGCGAAAAAACATTTTGAAGTTGGTGATTTTTTCGATAAGATATCTACAATGTTGAATGTTGTTGGAGCTTCGTACAAACGAAAAGATAAGTTTCAAGAAATATACCGAAAAGAAATTGAAAAAGAAATCAATGATGGTGAAATTAGCACAGGGAAAGGAAAGAATCAAGATCGTTCTCTTCCAAGGCCAGCAGCTACTCGTTGGGGTTCTCATCATAAGACATTGTTCCGCTTGGTCGAGTTATTTTCAATAGTTACTAAGGTGCTTAAATTTATTCAAACTGAAGGCATTGAAGACTCGAAGAAACATCAAGCATATGGTCTTGCTAATTATTTGCACACATTTGATTGTGTGTTCTATATGCATTTTATGTTGCATATCTTGGGGCTAACTGAAAATTTATCCATGGCTTTGCAAACAAAAGATCAAGACATTCTCAATGCTGTTTCGTTGGTCGAATCTACAAAGCGAGAACTACAGAAGTTTAGAGATGATGGATGGGACTCACTGATGGTTAAGGTTCATTCTTTTTGTAAGAAACATGACGTTGACATGGTCATGATGGAAGATGAGTTTGTTGATTTCAGAAGGCCAAGAAAGAGAACCAACACAACCAATTTACAATATTACAAGATCAGTTGTTTTAATTTTGTTCTGGATTTGCAGCTGCAAGAGTTCAATGATCGTTTTACTGAAGTAAACACTCAACTCCTTATTTGCATGGCTTCTTTAAGTCCCACAAGTTCATTCAAGCAGTTTGATAAAGATAAGTTGATGAAGTTGGTTGAGTTCTATCCAGATGATTTTACTTCTGTTGAGCGTTTTTCTCTTGAGCAGCAATTTAACATCTACATTGACAATGTAAAAGAGGATAAACGATTTAGCAATTTGAAAAGTCTTGGAGATCTTTCGCGTCTGATGGTGGAAACACAGAAACATCTTGCACATCCTCTTGTTTACAGATTATTGAAGTTGGTGTTGACTTTACCAGTTGCTACAGAAACAGTTGAGAGATGTTTTTCTGCAATGAAGTTTGTGAAAACAACTTCTCGCAATCGAATTGGAGATCAATTTTTAAGCGATTGTCTTGTTTGTTTTATTGAGAAAGAGTTGTTTGAATCAGTTACAAATGAAACAGTGATGAAGAGATTTCAAACCATGGCTCAACGTAGAGTATGCTTGTAAGGTGGTTTTAATAATATTTATAAACTATTTTTATTTTTATGTATGATTTTTTAAATATTTATTTATTTAATTTTTTATATTTAAATATTTATGCCCCCAATGAAAAAAATTTCTGGCTTCGCCACTGCATATAACACCAAATCCCCATCAAACTATAATCTCGTCTTAGATCCCCACGAAAGCAAACTTTTTTTTTTTTCCACGAAAGCAAACTTGAAGATCTATATCTCTCCAACAAAAAAATAGTTCTACAACACGGTGCCGACAGTGTAGAATACCTGATCATGACATCCAAGTCGGTGCATATACAGTTCCAGCGGGTTGGACCTTCATGGGCTATCCTAATGCCCATTTCAATCCAAATAAGTATGAGGATCCTTTCGTATTTAACCCATGGCGCTGGAAGGTGATTTTAAATTTTAATCGATCGTCATCTTTTACTTATATATATTTCCAATTCCACTAATCAAATCCAGAATTTTTTTACTAAAATATGAAGATTAAACTACAGTTTCAGGGAACAGACTTGGGTCCCGTAGTCACCAATATTTTTATATTTCCTTTAATCACTACCAGAAAAATAGGTATTCTTAACACACGAAAATAGTTATTGTAGAGGTAAAATAGCGTTTTCATAAATAATATGACAATGATAGCTATAATAGCCTCACCCATACAATAGCGGTTCTACGTACACTATTATAGCGCTAATCGAATGCTTTGAAATTTTTTAAACGTATCCTAAGAAAGAAGAGGTCAAAGAGATACATATCCTAAGAGATTTTTTTTTTAGGTCTAAATTTTTTAAAGCATTCGATTAGTGCTATGATAGACAAATATATAATAGCATACGTAGAACCGTTATTGTATGGGGGAGACTATTATAGCTACGCGCTGTCATAGCATTTAGGAAAAAACTACTATACTCCTATAATAACTGTTTTCGTATGCGAATAATATCCATTTTTTCTTGTAGTGTTGTGACAAAAAACATATTTAATTTTCTAAATGTTTTTCATTATATACCATTAAATTATATAATAATTTGCTATTAACATATTTGTCATCTCAAGTCGGCTTCATCAAAGGTCGGCTTCTATATGAGAATGTCTTGTTAGCGTCTGAGTTAGTCACCGAGTTTCACAAGTCCCGAAATTGCTCAAGAGGGTGTCTTCAGATCGACTTTACGAAGGCTTATCATAGTTTAAATTGGGAGTTCCTTATCAATATCATGAAGGCTATTGAGCTTCCGGAGGCTTTCATAAACTGGATATCTGAATGCATATCCTCTCCCTCGTACAGCATCTCTTTTAATGGCGAGCTTGTTGGCTACTTTCCGGGCAGGAAGGGCATCCGCCAGGGAGACCCTATGTCATCTCTTCTCTTCGTTCTTGCAATGGATGTCCTCTCCAAGAAACTTGACATTGGAGCTTCTGATGGTACTTTCTCTACTCATCCTTTGTGTGTGGCACCCCTCGTTATTCACTTAAGTTTTGCGGATGACGTGTTGGTCTTCTTTGATGGATCAGACCATTCCGTGCACGGTATCTTATCTATTTTGGAAGACTTCAAGATCGTTTCTGGACTTTGTATTAATGATAACACCGGATTTTGACCATTTTTATGGATCACTTTAATGTTTTTTACAGGTGTTTTTACTCTATTTTCAAAAGTTTTCAAAGGATTTCTATGTTTTCGGATTTTAAAAGACTTTTCAGGTAATTTGGGTTAAAGAGGCACAAATTGGAACAAAAAAGACTCTTTTGGATAAATGCAGACCGTCAGAACTCTCATGGAGATACAAAGACCTTCTCACCGTCTGATCACCCTCAAAATTGGACAACTTATAGAAGAATCAACCAGCTTTCAAATGCGCTTGGTTTGGAGACATTCCAACGGTTGGATCTCAAGATATTCCATTAGCTCCGGAGCCACTCGAAGACGGCCAGCAAGTCACCCGACCGCGGCCACCAGCCCATTCCCCGCGGTCATAAGCCTCCCGACCACGGCCAGCCACCTATTTCCCGCGGTCACGTCATTCCCGACCGCGGCCGACCAACTCCGAATTAAAGCCCACATTTCTGAAGCCCAAAGTCTTCTTAGCCTCAATTCCGGAACCCTAGAGACCATGGAGTATTGAAGACTATAAATACTTGTCATTTAGGTCGTTTTTAGACACTACCCCTTCATACTTTACAGAAACCCTTTTCCTTTAGCCGTTTTTATGCGATTTTTGTAGAAGATTGTTCAAGTCTGAGTTCTTCAATAGATAAGCTTTCTTTCATCTATTTTCTTTACTGTTTTTGATTACTTTTATTAAAACCAATGATGATGTCGATCTCAGCTATGTCTGAGTAGATCCCGAGTTGGGTTTGGGGTTCCTGAAAGGGTCTCTCATAATCGATTAAGACATCTAGGTTTATAGATCTGAGATTTTAACTTTGTTCTCTGTTTATTCTCGTTCTTATTGCATGTATGCTTGATTGATCACCTAGTATCTGATCTAGATAGTTAATGTTGCGAAAGTTTTCATTAAGTATTAGCCCTAGAATGAAACAGGCGATTTTTCTGTAGCAGTGGAAACCTACCTGCAGCGAGATCGTGAGTATTGACGAGTCTTGTGCAGCTCTTGTGTTCTCTCCCTTCCAGGGCCAGAGTGGAAACCTACTGGTCAAGGTTGCGAGAAACAGTTGGTTATGATCACGACAGTGACGTAGTCATACCGCCGTACTCTAGCTCTAGAACCCTATATATCGATATCCGTCAATCCCAATCTATTAACCCTAGTGTCAAAACCGATTATGATCCCTGTAGAGTTCCCGAAAGCTCAGCGTTTTTAGTCATAGTTTACAAACCAATCGATTTTTACTTGCTTATTTAGATCTGCATTTTAATTGCCTTAGTTCAATATTTTGCTTACTCTATTTGCTTTCCATTCGATTTTTCTACTTGTTCATTAGGATAGATTTATTTGCTTTCTTTTGCTTTAGTTTAATCCGTGACAAACAACCAACCTCTAAAAACAATCTAGTCTAGACATAAAGTTAGAAACCGTAGAAGAATACCAGGCACACAAATCTCTGTGGATTCGATCCCTAAATACTACAACTGATTAGCTGTGCACTTGCGGCTTTCATTTGTTTTTGTTAAGGGTAAAACTTGTTCCCTCACGCAGTTGACACGCATCAATTAACAAGGAAAAAACAGCGGATTTCATTGACGGTGGAAATTTGGAGGAGGGTCGGCTTATGGCTGCTAACGCCGGGGTTAACCAGGGCTCTTTCCCCGTTAGGTACCTCGGTGTCCCTCTCACCTCTCAGAAACTCAGGAAACAGGATTATCAGCCCCTGATAGAGAAGCTCACAAAGCGTTTCAACTCCTGGACTGTTCGTCTTTTGTCATTCGCGGGCAGGCTTCAGCTGATCCAATCAGTCATTTACTCCACTATTACTTTCTGGGCTTCCATTTTCATTCTCCCAAAGCAATGTATATCTACCATTGAGAGGATGTGTAATGGATTTATGTGGAATGGGGCTCCCAACAACGCAAAAGGTGCTAGAGTCAGCTGGGATTCAGTTTGCTCTCCGAAATCTAGTGGCGGGCTAGGTCTCCGGAGATTATCTGACTGGAACTTGGTCCTCGGGCTTAAACTGAGATGGTTAATATTTGCGTCGGGTGGCTCCCTGTGGGTTTCGTGGGTCAGACTTAATCTCATTGGTAACTCTATTTTCTGGGACTTAGACCCTCGTAACTCTGGCAGCTGGATTTGGAAAAAGCTCTGCAAGCTTCGCTCAGTCGCCAGACCTTTCATCGTGTGTGAGATTGGCTCAGGCATTACTGCAAACTTCTGGAGTGATAATTGGACGGGTCTAGGTCCGATTATTGATTTGACAGGCGACACTGGCCCCCAAATTTCTGGCCTCTCCATTGGCGTTTCTGTCGGAGATGCGATCATCGACGGCTCTTGGTGGTTGGCTACTTCTAGAAGCCGTAACCCCATCATCGGTCTCCTCAAACAATGCCTCCCTCCGCTAGCTCCTATTCTTGAATCCGAAGTCGACGACTCCTTTTTGTGGCAAGTGGGGAATTCTACTCCCACGAACATCTTCTCTGCAAGGAATACTTGGGCCAGCTTATTCCCAAGTAACATCTCAGCTCCCTGGTCCACATCAGTTTGGTTCAAAGGTATGATTCCTAAGCATACTTTTTTAACCTGGTTGGTGGCTAGGAATCGATTGCATACCCGGGATCGTTTGCAAAGCTGGGGTGTCCATGTTCCTTCTTCTTGTCTCCTATGCAGCTCTGCTGATGAAACAAAGCAGCACTTGTTTTTTGATTGTATATATAGCTCGGAAATTTGGTCCTTTTTTATGAACAAAGCCCATCTCTCTCCTCTTATCGCTTTTGAGGATGGATTGAGATGGATTAAGGACCCGGTTAGAGACCCTAACATCTCCCTGATCATCAAGCTTCTATTCCAAGCTTCGGTTTACGCCATTTGGCGCGAATGTAACTCAAGGCTTCACTCTAATTCCTCGAAGCCTCAGTCTGCTCTCATTGCTGACATACAACTGACTCTCCGATGCCGCCTTGACCCGCTATCTCGTGCGCAACGGAACCTTCCCTCGGTTGTTTCTCTCTTAACATCTTGGTTTACGGGTTTTCAGCCCCCTTGACTTCTCTTTTTTGTTGTTGTGCTTGTGGTGGCTTTTTGGTGCAGCTTGTTGCTGTTTGTCCATGTGTTGGTGTAATTTTTTGTCCGCATGGTTGTAATTTCACTTTCTAATATCAATAGAAAATTCAGTTAAAAAAAAAACATATTTGTCATAGTAAAACAACATATTATAATAATTTATTTACATAGTATTAAATATTTTCAACAGGTTTTCAATGGCAGTTTATGAACAATTTTTTTTTGTCTAAAGGAAACAATAGAAGGTATTCTATATTATGCAACATAATAATACTGATTGTCGTTCTTCTTTACTAGTAATTGGTTCGCGCTACGCGCAGATTATTTTGATAAAAGAAAATAACTTTAAATTTAATAATAATTGCTTATTTTGGATGATAATATGTATTCGAATAAGATTTTTTAAATTTATTAAATGTCTATTTGTATTTTAAAAACATAATCTCTACCGAACATATGTAAGAAAAACTTAATTTTGGTTTTCTTTGCCGTTGACCCATTTGGTTATGGAGCCGCTGACTCATTTAGTTACCCGTACGGGAGTAAGGTTTTGAGCTCTATAAGCCGATATCTCTATATATACAACGACAAACGTCAATAATCAATATATTGTAATTTATGAAATTGAATTTACATTTGTAGTCTTATCACACACTGTCCTACGAATCTGTGTACTAACAATTTTCTCTTACACAGTTTATTTTAACGTTTTGTAAAGTTTGTGTTTTAACCCTTAATCTACACTAATAAAAGGAGATAGTTTGTTTCTGTTATATCATAGTATAATTTACACAAATGAGATACCATACTTTTTTTAAGTCAAAGTAAATCAGATTCACACATCACATAATAACTCAGCAGCTCGTACTTAATAAAGTTACGCTAGACTTTTTGGCTCATTATTTGTTTTACTTATGGGCAATCACATCCCACTATATTATTTAAACCACGATTATCCTTTCACAATCAAGAAGTAGTTTTTTTATTACACTAAATTTCTAATGGAGCACGAACCATGCCAAACTCTTTAAAAATAATAGTTACATACATTATTAATTGAATATATTCCAAGATCAGCAAAAGGGTTGTCTAGACAGAAAAAGATGAAGCATAGTTTGCTTTTCCCATTTGAAAAAAAAACACATAGTTTTGGAAAAGACTCTTACTTCAATTTTCTATAGTCGGGGCGTGAGGTAAGCACTTGATTGAAGAACAGAAATACATGAAAATGATAAGTTATAAATCTGGCTGAGAGGAACAATAACTTTTTTTTATTTTATCCAGAAGATACTGTTTTTCTTTTATACCCCTTAAACCACAATCTGCGGCTTGTTACTCTCATGCATAGTGATTTAACATTTCTGTGATGTGTAAGTAATGAAAGATAAAGAGATGCACAAACTGGTAGGATGAATATACACACCTCGGACAACTACAATTTCATGTTCTCTAATTAAACTACCCAAAGGTATGATATCGTCTATCATCACCATGCACTCAAAATTTATTGTTATTGTTCGTACTTTCAGACATGGTAACTCAAGCTCAGGATGGAGACCAGGATGAACCAAAAGGAACTTAAGGAAAGCTCCCTCAGAAACTTTACAACATCAAATATAAGAAAGGAAAGCTACCAAATTTAATATGTTTTGTAGGCTTGTTAGCTAACAGAGGTAACAAGCCTACTTTGATATTGTACGTTGCTAGAGCTGATTGGATTGCTGTTAATAGCTTTTTGTATTCACCTCTATGTACATAGACATTAGTTAAAACCATATAAGCATCTAAGTGAGAATACGAATTCAAATCTTGATTGACCATCAAAACACTAAATCTGTGGATATGATATTCCATTAAATATGTACATTACGATCACTTTTTATGAACTAAAATTCAGAAGTTGGAGAGTTAGATGTTCAGACCTTCAGCCATGACTTCATATATTAGCCAAAACTAGAATATTTGTGACATACTTATTAACTTAAAATATCCTCTTTCTTTTTGTAAGATTTTTTTAAAAAAAAAAAAAAAAATCCCTTGATTGGGTCCTAACCAGGCTGGGGAGAGGATGGAGAGTGGTTTAAATCATGCTTCTTTACCGTCACGTTTATAATACACGCTGCAAACAAACAAAAAGATAATACGTGTTAATTATAGATTATTTTTCAAGATGCTAAGCACTACAATACATAGAATACCACCGTGAAGTTAAACTACAATAACATATAGAAGTTAAAATATTCAATCGTTTTTATGTGTGCGCCAGCTGAATTATTTTTCCAAGAGATTAGGGTATCTAATTTCTCTTAAAATATTCGAAAAAAAAAATGCTATGTGAACATACCAAAATTGACTGAAACCCTAAACTGAAAGATGAAATTGAAATAAGGGAGAAGTCGAAGGACGCAAAAGATGAAGGTTTTAATTTTGAAATCAGCGAAGAGTTGACCTTCTCATTTAGTCATCGGCACCCCCTTCTCTGTCATAAGCAAGGTTTGGAATCCTTAATTATTTACAAATTATGAAGTTACATAACAATTTTGAATATCTGAAAATTAGATAATTAGGGTTCAAAGTCGGAACCTTCTTTCTTTTCTTCATCTTCACCACTTATATCATGTAGTTGAGTGTCTCTAACCATGGTATTAAAATTTCTACTGGCATGCCGCATGATCCCTTCTTTTCTTCCTCCACAACCTCTCGCCGTTCTTCTCAATACCTTTCACTTGTCTACATGATTTGGTCACAAAATTAGAAATCCACGAATGAAAATCTTTTGGGTATATATGAAGCAAAAAGTACAAACCTCACAGTTCTTCGATCCTAGAAGACATTCCAAGAACAATAACATATGTATGGTTTGTTGGAATCAATATTTGTGGATGTAGAATACGAAGAGGTATCATTTAGTCTTGGTAAATGGTAGACGTTGAATTTGGAAGAAGAAACGAAAGTATTAAAACGGCTAATTAGGAATGAGTTCTTTTCTTTTACGTGGGTGTGAACTTGCTGACGTGGCAATTTGCAAATAACTGTCGATTAAGCTACGATTTCACAATTTTTAAGAATGCCACATGTCTACTTGAAACTAAATTAAAACCTGCTGATGTGGATACCTTTACGAGCCTCAAACTTCTACTTTTATTAGAGTAAATTTGCCATAAAAATGAACATAAAATGAACATATTAGTGCAAAAATAGATAAAGTGGACAAATGGCAAATAAATGGCCAGAAAAAAAATCACAGCATTTCAACAGTATTACACACACAATGTCATAGTCTTATAATTTAAGTCTTTATTTGCCATTTGCCCACTTTTATCTGTTTTTTTTTTTGCGAAAAATCTCCTTTTCTATATAGTGTAATCTAATTCTAATAAATAGCATTCAAGAAAAAGAATCATATATTTGTCTATGTTATTTATGTTGTAAATTAGTTCTTGGTGATTTATTAATAAAATTATAATGATTCATCAAATCACATAAAATTATTGATCTTCTTTTAATTAGAATAATCTAAATTAGAATAGTCATTATAAGACAGTTATTAATTATAAGAGGAGTAGACTAGCTATATAAAGGAGTACTTATCTATCCTTTAAAGAAGAGACAACATATTAGCAAAAACAAGGAATAAGAAGAAGAAGAATCGATGGAAATGATGAAGGTTGAAACAATCACTAAAGAAATCGTAAAACCATCTTCCACAACTCCTCTTGATCTCAAAACTCTCCAACTATCTATTTATGATCACATCCTCCCTCCCATTTACACAGTCGCCTTTCTCTTTTACACCAAAGATGATTCGATCTCACGAGAACACACTTCCCAAAAACTCAAGACTTCGATGTCCCAAACCTTGACCAAACTCTACCCTCTCGCCGGAAGAATTAACGGAGTCACCGTAGAGTGTAACGACGAAGGAGCTATCTTCGTTGATGCTTATGTCAATAACTACACTCTCTCTGATTTTCTCACACCCCCAGATTTCAAAGCCCTCCAACAGTTGCTTCCTCTAGATGTTGTAGGCAACCCGTGCGAGGCTGCTGCTACATGGCCTCTCCTGCTTGTAAAGGCCACTTACTTTCAATGCGGTGGCATGGCCATCGGAGTCTGCATCTCTCACAAAATAGCCGACGCAGCCTCCATCTCCACTTTCATAAAAACTTGGTCTGCCACAGCTCGAAGAGAGGCCGATGCAGCCGTGGCGTGTCCCGAGTTTGTCTCTACAAATTTCTACCCACCAGCCAATGAGGCCTTTAAGGTTCCAGTTGACGAGAAAGCCAACAAGAGACGCAGCATCACGAAGAGATTCGTGTTCGCTGCGTCTAAGTTGGATGAGCTCAGGACCAAAGCCGCTAGTGTAGACTCTGTATCCCCACCTACGCGGGTGGTGAGCGTCACTGCCCTTCTCTGGAAGTGTTTCGTCGCTGCTGCATCCTCAAAGACAGATAATTGTGATTTAAAACTGTTGATCCAACCCTTTAACTTGCGCCGCAAGATACCTTCCCTTCTGCCAGAAAGCCTAATGGGAAATGTCATCTTCTGTTCAGTGGTCTTGAGTAGTGATGGAGAACGGGAAGTGAAAATTGAAGAGGCAGTTAGAGACTTGAGAAAAAAGGGGGAGGACTTACAAATTGTGATCCAAGACGAGGATGAGTCATGTTCGATGATCGGTTCTAAACTAGCAAATTTGATGCTTAGTAATTATTCGAGGATGAGCTATGAGACTCATGAACCCTACACCGTGAGTAGCTGGTGCAAATTACCACTTTACGAAGCCAATTTTGGATGGGGATCTCCGGTTTGGGTTGCGGGAAATGTATCTCCCGCTTTCGACAACTTAGCCGTGTTGATCGATTCCAAAGACGGACAAGGAATTGAAGCGTTGGTCACACTGCCCGAAGAAAACATGTCGTCCTTCGAGCAAGACCCAGAGCTGCTCGCCTTTGCTGTCATGAATCCTAATGTCTTGGTTTAAATTCTGCAATAATTTATATCAAACCGTTGTTTCCTTGATCAATATTTGGGTATATCGAATCGGTGTACTATATATCAAATAAACAAATGTGACTTGTAAGAAAATCATGTAAGCTTTCATTATATCCGAATATAATTCTCCGCGTAGAATAACGTAATTAATTAGCAAAAGCCAAATGGTGTCGGGGATTAGGAGCTATGTCGGGCCTGTTCGTTGCACAAACGCTGCGTCTACGTTGTGCGTCAAAAAAAAAAAGACGCTGACGTAGCTAAATATCTCGATGGGTTTACGCCGGACTGTTAAAATTAACCACCGAGAGGAGTCGCAGCTGCCGCTGAAATTTCCAGCGTCCTAATTTTGTAGCTGCGTCTATTATTATTAATACCGGCGGCCTTGCTCTCTACACCCGTACGTTCCAAACATCAAACTTCATCCAAGTTCCGTTTCCCATTTTGGAACGTTTCAGAAACTGAAGCGCGGGAAAACAGATTGGAAACATGTTTTTTAAAAATCCAGTTGAAACTGAGTTTGAGAATCAATAGAAGATAAGTCTACATTGATTGATTCACTAGAGTAATTAAAAGTTTTTTTAGGGATAATTAGTTTTATAATGCTAATTGATTTAGGAATTGTCCTCTTAATGTTTTCTAAATAAAATTTGTCCCCTTAATGTTTAATTTAAATTTAATCCAATTATACCCTTTAATTACGAATTAATAAAATTGTATTAGATTTGAACTTAATTTTATTTAAATTGGAATTATCCCCTTAATGTTTTCTTCTTTCTCCTCTGCCTTGTCGTATTCCTCACTTTTTCTTTCAGTATTCTCATTCAATTTCGATTCTAGGGTTTACAAATTCTCAATTGATTTGGGGGTTTTGTTGATTTACAGTTTTTTACTACCTTGCATGATTCATATTTTGTTTCTAGCTGCATGCATGATTATAATTTCGTTCATAGCCGCATGAATGATTCTGGGTTTTATAATTTTGATTCTGGGTTTGCTAATTTCGATTCTGGGTTTGCTAATTTCGAATCTAAGTTCTGCACCTTCCTAATTGCTTTGGGCTATTGTTTATAGTAATTGGTTGATTCTGGGTTTGCTAATTTTGATTTTGTGCATGATTGAATGAGCTAGTCTTCAAAAATTTACAAGTTGTGTGATGTTTTTAAACGATTATGCTGTTGTTGTTTGGTCAAAGATTTTCATATGGTTTTTTACAACTGAATGAACAGATTTTAAAAACAATAGTCATCGACAGGGGTTGTTAGAGGGATTATGCTAAACTAGATATTGAGCTTTTTTTTTTAGCAAAGAGAGTTCATTACAAGGATAGCATAACGTAAGTTTGATGCATATTTAAAAATAAGAAACAAAAAAATCAAACAGACATGTTAAATCAAGTAACAAAAGTTACAATTAATTAGTCAAATTATAAGATACTATAGTCTGTTTATCTTCTTTACCTTTTCGCCCAAAGAAAAAGAAAAATATATTATACCAACTTTGACCAGCTGGTGTCGTTATGATTGGACGATGTATTGATGATAATGTATTTTGGTCGCATATTTCTGAGTTCTGCACCTTCCTAATTGCTTTGGGCTATTGACCTATTGTTTATAGTAATTTGGTGATTCTGGGTTTGGTAATTTTGATTCTGGGCATAACTAAATGAGCTAGTCTTCAAAGATTTACAAGTTGTGTGATGTTTTTAAACGATTATGCTGTTGTTGTTTAGTCAAAGATTTTCATATGGTTTTTTACAACTGAATGAACAGAATTTAAAAACAATAGTCATCGACATGTGTTGGTAATGGAGTTGTATTAAGGTTCACTTTTGGTTGTTGAGTTCGCTACCAAGATTTGGGATACTGCTGGTCAATTGAGGTAAGATTACCCTTTGTCTCTTGTTTTAATTTTTTTTTTTAATTTTCCACCTTAGTTGAATTCAATCCTTTTGAGGAAAAGGTTTTGACATTTGTTTCTCTGTGTTTAGGTGAAATTCATGCTTTTCTGTAATTTTAGCATAAGCGATTATATTAAAATTCATATTTGATGATATATGTTTGAATTCTGTAACTTGATGAAATCTGCACACAAATAAAAATATCGTGAGAAGTGAAACAATTAAGGATTTGTCATTAACTTATACAAATCAAGTGTAGTTTATTTTAGTTTTGTTATTTTTTGTAAAAACTTCCGTTCTTGTCGATCATATTGTTCCAGGTCTTCAATAGAAATGGTACGTAGGAGTGATTAAGAAAATTTTGAAAGTGAACAATGATGGGTATGATCACAATAGCTTATTGATTTTTTAGCATTTGATCACAATAGCTTTTTTATTATAATGGAACGATGAGATGTATGTTTTTTTAGCAATTGATCACAATAGCTTATTGATTTCACCATGTAAAGCAAGCGATTGATTCTAATTTCGATTATTGTCGCATATATTTGTAGGTATGGACGAGGAACTTCCGAAACTGCTTTTCGAGTCTGGTTTTGTGAATGATATTGACAAGATCAACAATCGATGCATTCTTAACACAATGGCCCTCGTTAAGAAAGCACTTCCAGACGAATACTGTAGAGTTCTGCTAGACCCTGTCTTTGGACCTGTTTTGTCAATTATCGAGAACAACATAGGATATTCAGGGCGACTAGTCCATAGCTTTCTGTGTAAGGAGCTCATCACCGACAAGAAACACGAGCTATGGTTCGTGTTTGTGGGGAGACATCTTCGATTTTCTCTGCAAGAATTTCATGCGATTACTGGCCTGAACACGAAAGACGATGAGACTTGTGATTTCAGTGATTGGATTGATAATGGCGGGTTCTGGAGTAAGTTGTTGAGAAGCAAATGTGGAATTACTTTATCTAAAATAGAAAATGAGTATCTTGGGCGTGTAAACAAATGGAGGCGTGAAGACAGGTTGCGGTTAGTGTATTTGTATGTTATTGCTTCTCTGGTAATGGCGAAGAGCAAGACCATTAAGATCCCAAAAGAATATATCATTCTTGCTATAGATCTGTGATATAGGCACGGGCCTATAGATGGGGATGGATCCTTGTTGCTGGTTGTGTAACTCTCTCAACAAGAAGAAGGAATGGAAGTTGATGTGATAAGAGGATGGAACTCGATCAGTTGGTTGTGTAACTCTCTCTGATTGAGTCAAGGGATGAAACGATGGTGATGCAAACGGTGGAATGAGGGTCGCCACAAAGCTCTATGGACTGAACCTTGATAAGACCGGCGAGAGATGGATCAAACACCAACTCTCAAGAGGAGGATCAAACACCAACTCTTAAGCGAATTCAGAGAATTCAAGGACAAGACAAAAGCTTGAAAGAACTGCGTTATTTTATTGATAGTAGGGTAAAAGATACACGGCTGCTTATAAGGGACTTTATAAGAGAGTCCAATGCAGCTTTGCCCTTCTTGGGGACTTGAAGCAAATTACATAATAAGGACACAACTTCTGGGACTCTAAGAAAACAATACAGACTCGTGCAATAACTAAAAGATATTAAGAAATACTTTTAAAGCTTAAAACTATGAATAGAACCTGTAAAACAAACCAAAGACAGAAAATCCATATTAGGCAAGTAAATAAACGTATTCATTCTCTTACCTTGGTGGGTTGGACGGCTGAGATGATCTTAAGTTGGTATGATGCTGATGCTGAACAAGGACACTTCTTTGTTGGGTCGGAGAAGTGGCAATTCAGTTGTTGGGCGATCTTGTATCAGGTAAGCTTCTTCTTTATTAGGCTCCTCCAGGCTTCTTTCTTGGACTGTGGCCTTAAAGCTTGGGTACAAAGAGTCTTCTTGCTCGTGGATGCTAAGTAAGGCTTCAATAGCTTGATTAAACTCCTCTCTCAAGACTCTAGTTCCGGATCTTGTTCTTGGCCCTTGTCTCACGGCTGGTATAGGTGGAGCTTGTGCTTCTATGCCCTCATCATCCCCTCCCTCTTGCAAAGGTTCTGATCTCAGAACAGATTCACCTGCATCATAAGGGGACAAGTCAGTAACATTGAAAGTAGGAGAGATATGAAACTCACCTGGCAGCTCCAGTTTGTATGCATTGTCGTTGATTTTCTCCAAGACTCGGAATGGCCCATCTCCCCTTGGTGCAAGCTTGGATTTTCTTTGTTGTGGGAACCTTTCTTGCCTCATGTGCAACCACACCCACTCTCCTGGTTCAAAGGTAACCTCCTTGCGCCCTTTATCAATTCTTGCTTTGTCCTTTTCGTTCTTTTTCTCCAATCTCTCTTTAACCTTTTGGTGCAGTTTCTTCACAAAGTCAGCCTTAGCTTCTCCTTCTGCGCTTGAGTAAATAGCTGGTGGCAAAGTAGTAAGGTCTAAAGGCGTGTGAGGGTTGAACCCATAGACAACTTCAAAAGGAGATTGGTTGTCGTGTCTACCTTCAAAAGCGAATTCAATGAAAGGTAGACACGATAACCAATTCCTGAGATTCTTACCAACCGTGGCTCTCAATAAGGTTGAGAGTGTACGGTTTACTACCTCTGTTTGTCCATCCGTTTGGGGATGACAAGTGGTGGAGAATAAAAGTTTGGTGCCAAGCTTTTTCCACAATGTCTTCCAAAAATGGCTGAGGAATTTTGTGTCTCGGTCTGAAACAATGGTCATGGGCACTCCATGAAGACGCATGACCTCTTTAAAGAAGAGATCAGCTGTTTGAGTTGCATCGTTGGTCTTGTTACATGGTATAAAGTGCGCCATCTTTGAGAACCTGTCTACTACTACAAAAATGGAGTCTTTGTTGTGTATCTTAGGCAAGCCTAGAACAAAGTCCATAGAAATGTCCACCCAGGGTGCATTAGGAATAGGTAAAGGCATATGTAAACCATTAGTGTGTAACCTGGACTTAGCTCGAAGACAAATGATGCATTTGGTGCATAGCTTCTCCACATCTCTTCGCATGTGTGGCCAGTAAAAGTGCTCCATCAGCACGCTCAGTGTCTTGTCTCGGCCAAAGTGTCCCATTAGCCCGCCTCCATGAGCCTCCCTAGTGATCAACTCCCTCATGGACCCTTGTGGGATGCATAACCGCTTTTCTTTAAATAGAAATCCATCTTGTTGGTAAAATACTCCAAATGCGGCCCTTGTAGTTTCTTTGTAGACCTCTGAGAATTCGGGATCAGATTCATATCCACCCTTGATGTGCTCAAAACCCATGATCTTGGCTTCCATTGTAGAGATGAGAGTGTAACGCCTTGAAAGTGCATCAGCTACAACGTTCTCTTGCCCCTTCTTGTACTTAATCACATATGGGAAGGTTTCTACGAACTCTAACCATCGAGCATGCCTTTTATTAAGTGTGGTCTGTCCTCTTAAGTGCTTGAGGGTCTCGTGGTCTGTGTGAATGATAAACTCCTTTGGAAGCAGATAGTGTTGCCACGTTTCTAGTGATCTCACCAAAGCATAGAGTTCTTTATCATAAGTTGGGTAGTTGAGTGTTGCTCCACTTAGCTTCTCACTGAAGTAAGCTACTGGCCTCCCTCCCTGAGTTAGAACAGCTCCTATGCCAGTACCTGATGCATCACACTCAACCTCAAACATTTTATCAAAGTTAGGAAGGACTAAAACCGGTGCCTGTGTGAGGCTCTCCTTCAGATTGTTGAATGCGGCTTCTTGATTCGGCCCCCAAGTGAAAGTAGTGTTCTTCTTGATCACCGATGTCAATGGGGCTGCTATAGTACTGAAATCCTTGACAAAGCGCCTGTAAAAGCTTGCCAAACCATGAAAGCTTCTAACATGTCCGACCGTGGATGGTGTGGGCCATTCTTGGATGGCTTTAATCTTCTCCTCATCCACTTTAAGACCCTGATAACTTACAACAAATCCTAAAAATACCAATTGATCAGTGCAGAAAATACACTTCTTAAGATTTGCATATAATCCCTCTAATCTAAGCGTCTCTAGAACCTGTTCAAGATGCTTAATATGATCTTCTAAGCAGTGGCTGTAAATCAGAATATCATCAAAGTAAACCACTACAAACTTACAGATGTATGCTCTCAAGACGTGGTTCATGAGTCTCATGAAGGTACTTGGGGCGTTTGTGAGGCCAAAAGGCATCACAAGCCACTCGTATAGACCTTGTTTGGTCTTGAAGGCAGTTTTCCACTCATCTCCTTCCTTCATTCTCACCTGATGATAGCCACTCTTTAGGTCCACCTTTGAAAAGATAGTAGCTCCACTTAATTCGTCCAACATGTCGTCTAGTCTTGGAATTGGGTGCCTGTATTTGATGGTGATGTTGTTAATGGCCCTACAGTCCACACACATCCTCCAAGAGCCGTCCTTCTTGGGTACTAGCAAGACGGGTACTCCACACGGGCTGAGGCTCTCTCTTATGTATCCTTTAGACATTAAATCCTGGACTTGAGCCTCTAGCTCTTTGGCCTCTGTTGGGTTAACTCTATATGCGGCTCGGTTAGGCAAGGGTGCTCCGGGTACTAGATCGATCTGGTGCTCAATGCCTCTTATGGGGGGAAGGCCGGCTGGTATCTCCTCCGGAAAGACATCTTGGAACTTATCCAATAGCTGATTTACCTCGTGTGGGAGCTCTTGACCTTCTTCATTACCTGAAAACAGACTTTCTCTAAAGATCATAAGTAGTACCGGTTGTTTATGATCAAGAGTTTTAAGAATTGTATTCGGTGAGACAAATAGATTAGTTTTACTTAGCTGTCTTCCTTTGCTCATGGCCTGTTGCATCTCATGAACTTCTGATGGCGTGAGAGGGGCTAAGTTGTGCTTCTTGTTGTGGTGAGTGAAAGAATAGTAGTTGGTGCGACCGTTGTGCATGGTTTCTTTGTCAAATTGCCATGGCCTCCCAAGGAGCAGATGACCGGCTTGCATGGGTACAACATCACACGTGACTTGATCACTATACTTTCCAATGCTGAATGGCACAACAACTTGCTCCGCAATCCTCACCTCCGTGGTATCATTGAGCCATCTTAATCGGTATGGGCTTGGGTGCTTTGTCTTTTCAAGACCTAACTTGTCTACAAGATACTTGCTAGCCACGTTAGTACAAGAGCCACCATCTATAATGAGACTACATACCTTGTTTCCAATGCTACATCTTGTATGAAAGATGTTTTCTCTTTGGAGTGTCTCGGGGTCACTTAGAGCACCAAGAGATCTCCTGATTACCAACATCTCTCCAAACTCAGGGAAATCGGTGACCTCTTCTTCTGAGTCAGTGGCTTCTAGCTCGGCCTCATCTTGTGACTCATACTCTCCATTGTCTCTCAATATCATTACCCTTTGATTTGGGCATTCTTTTGCAAAGTGGCCTTTTTCCCTGACACTTAAAGCATGTTATATCTCGAGACCTTTGATTAGGAAACTTACCTTGCTCATGTGGAGCCGGCTTTGATGGCCCGGAAGTTGGTTTCTTGAACCGATTTTCCACTTCTATAGATTTGCCTTTGTCCATCGGTTTAGAGAAGGGTTGGGTCCAAGTAGACTTTCCTCGGTTAGTGGCTGCTTTCTTCTTGAAATGCTGCTCGGCTTGTATAGCAAAGTGCAGTAGATCCTCCATGTGCTCATAGCTCTGCCACTCTACTTTTCTCGCTATTCTATCTTGGAGGCCATCAACGAATTGGGCCATCAATGTCTCCTCCGAGTCTTGAAGCTCCAATTGATTTCTGATGGTCTCAAACTCCTCGTAGTACTCTTCTACAGGCCTGTTTCCCTGAGACAACTTCCGAAAACGTTTCTGTAAGTCTCTAAAGTAATAAGCGGGCACATACCTCTTCCTTAGGTGGAATGTCATGTCCTCCCAGGTGGTGATCTGGCCACGTCTTAGCCTCCGTCTTTCAGAGACTTCTCGGTCCCACCATGTGAGAGCATTGTCGGTCAGTTGTGCGACGGCTAGAGACACCTTCTTGGCTTCGGAATATTGGTAGTAATCAAAGATATGATCCATTCTTCTTTCCCAATCCAGGTAAGCCTCGGGGTTGACTTTTCCAGCAAAGGTAGGTGGTGTAAGTTTAAGATCTTTGCTCCCATGTCTCTCGTCTTCTCTATCTCTCTCTCGGCTCCTCCCTCTTTCACGGTGCTGATGCTGGCCTTGGCCATGGTTATCCCGTCTGCCACGCCGGTGATTTGGGTCAGGTGGGAGTTCATCTTCGAGATTAGGCATGTCATCATCAGTCTCTTCTCCATCGTGGTCATGTTGTTGCCTTGGTTAGTTCTCATCGTTGTTGGGTTGGGCTGGTGGTGGCAACCGTTGTTCCATCAAGTTAAGACGGTCGCTCAGAGTCCTCATACCGTCAAGTAGTTGCTGCATGACTTCTGGTATAGGCGCGGTATTGTCTCCCATGATTGGTGTCTACGTTCAAGAGCAAACAAAGATCAAGTGCAAAGAGAAATTGAAATACGACTAAGTGTTGTTTTTAGTTCTTTCCTTTTCTTTTAATGCAATAAAACGACGGTGCAATGTTAAAGAAATGTAAACTCTTCTTTTCTTTTGTACGTGATTATGAAAACTTCCCTTTTCTGGCTAGCTAGGGCTTTTGACAAGATTTTCGTTCTAACAATGAGCCGCAACTAATCGATGCTATGAATGATGCTAAGGAGAATGATTTTAGATATATAGATGAATGCTCAAGATGATATGCGATGTATGCAACCGAATAGAACTCTTTTTTTTTTTTTGAATAAGTGTGCGACAAGAAATCAAAGATGCAAAGGAGATTTAACCGAAAGGTATGAAAAGATAAAACCTGGTTTTGGAACCTTTCGGCTCTGATACCAGATGATATAGGCACGATCCTATAGATGGGGATGGATCCTTGTTGCTGGTTGTGTAACTCTCTCAACAAGAAGAAGGAATGGAAGTTGATGTGATAAGAGGATGGAACTCGATCAGTTGGTTGTGTAACTCTCTCTGATTGAGTCAAGGGATGAAACGATGGTGATGCAAACGGTGGAATGAGGGTCGCCACAAAGCTCTATGGACTGAACCTTGATAAGACCGGCGAGAGATGGATCAAACACCAACTCTCAAGAGGAGGATCAAACACCAACTCTTAAGCGAATTCAGAGAATTCAAAGACAAGACAAAAGCTTGAAAGAACTGCGTTATTTTATTGATAGTAGGGTAAAAGATACACGGCTGCTTATAAGGGACTTTATAAGAGAGTCCAATGCAGCTTTGCCCTTCTTGGGGACTTGAAGCAAATTACATAATAAGGACACAACTTCTGGGACTCTAAGAAAACAATACAGACTCGTGCAATAACTAAAAGATATTAAGAAATACTTTTAAAGCTTAAAACTATGAATAGAACCTGTAAAACAAACCAAAGACAGAAAATCCATATTAGGCAAGTAAATAAACGTATTCATTCTCTTACCTTGGTGGGTTGGACGGCTGAGATGATCTTAAGTTGGTATGATGCTGATGCTGAACAAGGACACTTCTTTGTTGGGTCGGAGAAGTGGCAATTCAGTTGTTGGGCCGTCTTGTATCAGGTAAGCTTCTTCTTTATTAGGCTCCTCCAGGCTTCTTTCTTGGACTGTGGCCTTAAAGCTTGGGTACAAAGAGTCTTCTTGCTCGTGGATGCTAAGTAAGGCTTCAATAGCTTGATTAAACTCCTCTCTCAAGACTCTAGTTCCGGATCTTGTTCTTGGCCCTTGTCTCACGGCTGGTATAGGTGGAGCTTGTGCTTCTATGCCCTCATCAATCTGGAGAAGCTACGGAAGTACCCATGAGTACGTGTAGCGTTTGATTTCTAGTGCAGAATATCAAGAAAGTTCGTGTGAAGTTGACGCAATCTACAGGGTATGCACTGAATGGCTTCACAATAGCTTTTCAAATCTGGATCATGGAGGCAATTCCCGCTCTCGGATATATGCTGTCTTCTAGATTGGATGCTGTGATCGCCGGTGTTCCTAGATGCTCTAAGTGGGAAGGCATTAGCTATGGGAAAATTTCAGATATTAAGCATATCGAAAATAAGTTTTGCACGAAGGTGATTTCTGATTCTTTTTCGATTTATATATATATATATATATATATATATATATATTGCTTTGTTGTATTTCTTTGCTAATTGTCCCATTATTTTTTGCAGGAGAAGCTCTATCACTATATCTCTTCCACTAGGAATGATGATGTCGTTGATCCTTTGGAGTTTGTAGGGCCTGATGAAATGGCTGACGCAAGATTGGATCTTCTTAAAACAATGATCAATGATGGAATGGATTGGAGTCACCATAAATGGGAGGTAGAAGAAGCATTACCTGCAACTCTTGACGAGAATGAGGAAGCAACAGATGAAGAGAATGAGAATGTCGCAGAAGAAAGCAAATTTAGGACACCACCTGCTGTAGGTAGCTCAGTTGCAGGTTCGAGTCAAGGAAAGAAAAGGGTCGCTGAACCTGGTGCAGAATCACGGAAGCAGAAGTTGATGTGCGATCGATCAGCTGCGAAAGCCATCGATGAGGAATTTAAGTCTTATATTCAAGGACTTTTGCAGACCTCATTCAAAGCTTTGGAGGAGAGACTTGAGACCAAGATTGATAGTCAAGTCGAGCTGTTGGATAAAAAAATAGAAAACCTAAAGGAGATGCTTGAGAAAAAGATTATAGAACCCATACAAACAGGTGGATTCACTACTGCTAGTCCCACCGCATCAAAATCACAACCTGGTACGTTTCACACATTTGCAAATTATGTCATTGCTTTATATGAAAAAATATCATTGTATTTATTTTCCATACTCGCAGGTACAGTTGTTGTTCCTTTACCGGCAAAAACATCTACCAGTGATGTTAACGTCGGTCAAAAAACTGCTACGGCGTCAACAATTGCCGCCTCCAAATCCATAACAAGATCTGCAGGTTCTACTCTAAGCAAAAGGGAGACTTCTCACCCTTCCAAAAAGGTAAGCAAGCGCAGAAATTCTAAGACCTAATGCACTAGAATGTACGATTGAAAAATGTACTTTTTTGGTTATATTGAACTTGTAATTTTGGTAAACTTGAAATATGTCATGTTATAATGTAATACGTTTGTCTCACATATGTTGTTAATTTGTAAGTTTCCTTTTTTTCTCTTCGTATCATACAAGAACTATTTTGTACATTATCAGGAAGATAGAAACAAAGAGATGTATGACGTGTTTCTCAATCAGGAAATGGATATGGACCTGGAAATGGATCTTAAAGACGCTTTATTCGCAAAAGCACTGAACAAAATTTCTCAATCATCATTTGTAGCTGGTTACGATCCGACGCAGTCAGATAATGCAAATTATCCATTGATTCATGTGTCAGATACCGATTGGGAAGGTGTAGACGAGTGGGCACAGACACGCGAGTAAGCACATAAATTCTTTTAAATTAGAGAAAAATATTGAACGTAAACGTATTTAATTATTTATTATTATTTTTTTTTTTCAGAGACTTATTAGTTGGTCCCCTCAAGTATACTACAGAAGTAGCAGATCGCCTCATGAATAAACGACATTGGTTGCACATACCGGTAAGTACCTAAAAAAATAAATATTTTTTTAAAAAATCATAAGGCATTCAATTTTTACAATGTGGTTAACCGATGTTAATGTTTCAGGAAATGGATGGAGTTATGTACTTATTTGGGGAGTAATTTTCTTTGGGCCGCTTCCAACATGCCCGTGTTGGCTTAATGAGCTGTAATTTTAGCCTCTCAGTTGGTGCTGCATACAAACAATTGGTGACAAATAAAAAAAAACCAGATGGACCAGGTGCTCATACAATATGGATTATGAGCGCTTCCGGCTCATGGAAGAACAAACAAAATATGGGGTGTCGACGTCGATCGTATATATGCTCCGGTCAATATCCAGAACAAACAATTGGATATCTTTGTGCATCAATTTCGAGATGAGAACAGTAGAAGTTTTTGATTGTGACGGGGGCAAGCACAGCCGGTACGTGGATGCATTTGCAAACATCATCCCTAGAGTTGTGAAGGAAGTTCAGAGTTACAAAGAGAAGAAGCAACTAGTTATTAAACCATACACAGTGCAGTATGTTCCGATGAGGCCTGAGATTAATAGGAGCTCATGTGATTGTGGAGTTTATGCGCTCAACTTCATAGAGGCTCACATGCTTGGACTACACCTGTCTTTTATTGTGGAGTTTATGCGCTCAAATTCATAGAGGCTCACATTGTAAGTTGTTGAGTGTGTATCTGCTGGTTCACAGAAAACGCTACTTTAGTTGCATGCCGACACGGAATTTTAAGCAAGTCGTACTTGCCACATGAACAAGTTCCTCTGCCCAAATCAACAAGATAGTCGTATTTGTCACCTCTGACCAAAAATCGACCCCGGCTAACTGGGTAAACAATGAATGTTTTACCCTTATCAATCTTTCTCTCGATCTTCGTCTCAACCTCAACTGTTAGAGGAGCCTGATGCTTTGAGCTAAGTTTTTTATGCTCATAAAACTAATTGGTTAATATTTCTCTAATGCTACCGAGTAGAGGAATAACTGTGTACTCTCTAGGAGTTAGTACTTTTTTATTTATCGAATTCTAACATCGTACCTAAATCCGGAGAATTTGCATCATGCCCATTTCTCAACACCAGCGTCCTCAGTGTACTTTCCAACAGCTGGACTAATAGAACAAATGGCAGCAAATTTGGTATCAAAAGCAGAAACTCTGTACTCTTTAGAAGCCTTTGCAATCAAACCAGTCAAACCCTGTGTCTTGAAATATGTTACCACATTATTCAGCAAGTGGTGGATACAGATACCATTGCTAGATTGTGGGTACACTTTCTCAAGTGCTTTAATTACGGAAGCATTTTTATCTGACCCAAAAACCAAACGCACCTCATCCGCAATGACAACTTTTAGTTGCATCATAAACCAGTCCCAAGACAGGTTGTTCTCTGAATCGACAACCCCAAATGCGATCAGATATAAGTTTGAGTTGCCATCTAATGCCATAGCAACGAGCAAAACTCCTTTATATTTGTTTTTCAAAAATGTCCCATCCACAACAATTATCTTGAGCAGCTTTGTAAAACCCTCGTACCGATTGACCAAAAGAGAGAAACAGAAACTTGAAACGTCCAGTAATGTCAGTTTCGTACTGCGTATGGGTCCCTGGATTCGCTTCTTTCAGAATGTGCAAATACTTAGGAATTTTTGCATAGTTTTTCCCGGGAATGCCTCTGACAACACTAATTGCATACTCATGTGCTTCCCAAGCATGGTTGTAAGAGATGTCACATACATACTCTGTACGAATAAACTAAATTATTTTTCTTGGACTAGGCCCTTCATTAGCACCCTCAAACTTATTCTTAATCAGATTACCAATAGTTTTTGCTGAAACTGTCCTACCGACTGCGTCTTTATTAGAAGGAGCGCATGTATGTTGAGTGACATACTTGTTGATTCTGAAATACTGAGACCCCTCAAGACACTTTGCACGAACACACCAGTTGCATGACTTCTCTTTGCAGCGGATAAACCAGACTCGTTTGGTTGATTCCAGTACGTTGTAGTCAAAATTATGCTTCATCGCAGAAATTTCCAAAAAATCCTTCAACTCTGTTTTGCTTCTAAAATTTTGATCCTTTTTTACAACATCAACCAAGTTAAGCCGAACATTCTGCTCACCGTCAACTTCGTAATCGACCTTAACGGGTTCATTAAACTGTTCCTCCACTTTATGGCCACTGTCTCTAATATCATCATCGCCTGACTTTGCAGCTATTGCGTCATTTTCTTCTCTACAGCTTGAATCAGAGGGCATCTTCATCAATTTGATGTGCATTTGATTCTCAGCATTCTCAGCAAACGCGGTGAATGTCACACACAGATGTACCGAAGTTTTAATTTTAGAGTAGGCAACAAAATTTTTGAGCTGACGATCATTGGCGATACTCACTGGTGGAGAACCTATGGTATCAATCAAATCACTCGGAAGATAACTAAAATCAGCTTTGTGATCGGTTACTCCATAGTCTTCGAGAACCATCATTTCTAACTCCGCGAGAGTGGTGTTTGATTCAACAGCAACTAACCTAGCTCGTTTTTGTTCATCAGCCACAAAATTCTACTTCTTATTTCTCCCTGATTTCCATGAACCACAAGTTACATAGATATGTAGCATGTTTGAAACAGAAGATACGTAAATTTAGAGAAATTCTCCTGAATCAATGGGAAGAAGAAGAAAACTATGAAGTCAAACAAAAAGAAGCAACTTCGTCAAAAACAAAGAGAAAAACGTGAAAAATATAAATAAAAAGTAAAAGATTTTCGAAAAAATAAAAATCTGGAAGTTAGCTAATTTTCCTAGATTTTTTTAAGATTTTGGTAGAAGTTGTATTCTACCAATATGTAGAACATGGTCTAATAAGTAGAAGAACTATTCTACTACCATGTAGAATTTGGTATAATAAGTAGAAAAATTGTTCTACATTAACGCAGAACTTGGTTAAATACGTAGAATTAATGTTCTACAATAACATAGAACTTTGTCTATTTGGTAGAAGTTTTATTCTACCAACACGTAGAATATAGTCTACCCGATAGAACTTGTAATCTACGATAAAGTAGAATATAAAAAGGAATGTAGAAAACGATTTCTACAAGCTAGTAAAAATTACAAAAAACTATAGAAATGAGATTATACGTAGACGTAGAACATAGAAGACGCATTCTACTATGCGTAGAACAAAATTTAAAAATATTTTTAAAATATTTTCTTTCCTTTAATGAAATCCAAAAATATTTTCTCTTCTTATTTTGGAATGTTCGATATATTATTAAAAAAATTAAAATTTTATTTTAATTATAATTATCATAACTGATTTAAAAGGGTAATTATGTCAAAAAGTCACCAAAAAATAAAAAACATTAAGGGGACAATTCCTAAATCAATTAGCATTATAAAATTAATTCTCAAACCCACGAGATGTGAAATTTATGTTATTTACTTGGTCTTTTGAAACTTATTTCTCTCAGAAACTATGAATTCCAAGGATTTTGGATGGAAGATTCCATGAACCGAAACAGAACAAGCAAGTAGATATTCGATATCAGAAATTCAAGAAGATTCAAGTTGATGCTTTATACATTAAGAGTTCTATTATGTAGTTCTCTGTTATGGTGGGATGTATGCAATGTGAAAATATGAATCAGGTCAACAAAAAATATATATATGTTTTCCAAATCTTTTGCTAAGTCTGAACATACTACATGAACCCGAAGATTTGGATCAAATCAATGACTAACCAAGTCTCAGCTGCTAAAGAATTCCTCGTTCAGACATCATCTGCGTTTCTTTTTCAACTTTGATAGGTAAAAAAAATGACGGAGTAATCTCCTCAGCAGCTGACACAAGATGTTGATAAATAACTGAACATCGACTCAAGGGGAAGGAGTAATCTCCTCAGCAGCTGACGGAGTTTTCTTCTTGATGGTTCCTAGAGAGACTTTAACCTTTGCTGGTCTCAGAACACGATCTCCTAGAAGAAATCCCCGGTTAAGCTCCTCGGTTATTATCCCTGCTTTAACCACCTCAGATTCTTCTCGCGATATAGCCTCATGCAACTACAACAATAATCTATATTGCTAAGTCAATCAAAACAACAAACATTACTCATCATCACTCAAGAGCGTACAAGAATAATACAACCAAGTTGTGTAAATATAATGAAAGCTTTCTACTACTTATAGCAAAGACAATGATCGACTTTGTTACCATTTTCAACGTAGTATCTATGATAATGATAAATCAAAGTGCGGAAATCTCTTTTCATTAGTCAAATCACAAGAACAAACATTACTACTCTTAACATCGCTTACTAGCAAACAAGAACCTAACAACATAGTTGTGTTGATATATAAAGCTTTCTATTACATTTACGCAAAGACAATCATTAGCTCTGTATTTATGTTTATAATAAGATCAATGGTGGAAATCTCCTTTTATTGATCAAATCACAAGAACAAGAGGATGTTTCTGGAGTTTCAGTCGATCTCCACAACGACTAACGAGCTATAATCAAACAAGTCTCTTCCTGAAGCTATCTTGTTCATTATAATCACTACATAGACAACTAGTGTGACTGTTTACTCAGACAAGGTAAGAGCTTTCTTAGTGATGCAACAAAGACCTGCAGAAAGTGAACATTTTGAAGAGCTTTTACTTACCAAAGGATCAAAGGGCTTCCCAACAGTTGCAATGGCTTTAACACGAAGATGTCTCAACACCTCAACGAATTGTCTGTAAATTCCTTGATAACTCGTATCGATCTTCTTCTCCTTTTCGGTATCGGGTTTAATCTGTTGCCTCGCTTTCTCAAAACTATCAATGAGTGGTAAGAGGCTCGTCATGATCTGCACTTTTGCGTTAGACTCTGTACTAAGCCGATCCTTGTCAAGCTTTTTCCTTGTGTTATCAAAATCAGCCTGCAATCGGATCTTCGTCTCCTTCTCCGAAGCTATCTTCATTGATAAAGATAAAACCTTATTGTCGAATCTGTTCTTTTCCTTCTCGATTCCGCAAAATATCGTTTCGATTTCAGAAACGGTGGTTTCGTCTCCATTAGAGATAGCTTGTTTGTAAGCTCTAATTAGGGCTTTTACATCTGTTGGGAGCTTCGAATTCGGTTCTCCACTATCAGTCTGTAAATCAAAGAATAACACCAACACCATAAACATCCGAATTTGTAGAAGCTCAATCCTATTCGAATCCGTAGGCGATTTCCAGGAGAAAGAAGGGAAATAGAACTTACAGATGAAGCTTGGTGAGCAGAGAGAAATGCTACGTAGCTGGTGCGACTGTTCACGGCTACTGGAGATAGATAAAAGAGTGGGAATCCTTGGTTGGGTTTCGAATTGAATGGAGATGAAGAAGGTCTGCAATGGAAGAGGAGGTTTCGTAAGGGTAAGGTTCTCGATTTTCCGGTGAGAGATGAAGATGAAGATGGAGAGGGAGAAGAAGAGAAGGAGAAGCAAGGAGCTCTGGAAGGATCGATTACGAGAGAAATCGCCATTGTCGGGATTAGATTTATTTTTCCCTTGTTAATTTATTTTTCTTTCTTGGCAATTGCAAGACTTCAAATTTAAACCCTCTCTCTTGAATTCAAAACTACTATTAACTTTGGATTCACATATGTGCAGCTTAAACTCTCTTAAACAGTATGGCAACAATCATATGAGAAAAACTTGTCTTTCTTCTCTGTCGTTTAAGTTTTTGGTTTGGGGCTGATTGAGATTTGGTGGTGAAAAAAAAAAAATTGATGGAAGTGGGTAGCTCCAATTCGTCGGGTCAGCTTTCCGGGCGGGTCGTTAACACAAGAGGCAAACACAGGATTCAAGCCGAACCCAAAAGGCTTGAACAAGAAGCTGGCTTCTTAGAGGTAATACTTTTCTCTGAAACCCCTTTTGTTTGGGCTGATTATTTGATTAATTCAGCTTGAAGGTGTTATATCTGTCTGATATTTATCATAATGGATCAGTCTTTTCTTTTTCTGCTCCTTCAAATGATTTTTTTTTTTGGGAGGGAATGGTAATAGAACTATATAGTTGTGGAGAATTTGAAAGTTTTAAACTTCTAGTTGTGGGAATTGGGAAGCAATAGCAAAAGCGTTGATCTGATTTAGAGGGTTTACTTGTTTTGATTCTATGAGTGGATGAAGTGAACAGCTTTGGTTAGTTTGATTTGGTAGTGTCTTCAATCTTTATGGTTGCTTTTCTTCTCAGTTGAGAAGCTGAACAAAATTGGATCTCAGATTAGCTTTTATTCATATATAAGAGAGCTTAAGCAAGATCATGTATCATTTGCTGTGTTGTGGAGAAAGGTGACTTTGCTATAGACCTTCAATTAGTTCAGACATAGTGTAACATCTAGTGTAGAACACTCTTCTTGTCGAGAGTTGATGTGATGCTAAAATGTTACCCTTATGAGAGAGAGATGATCCTTTGCAGAAACTGGTAAAGTCTTAAGGTCTTTTCATTTATGTTAGGTCATATCTTGAGCCCGTGGGGTTTAAGCTCTTGTATACGCTTTGTTTTCAACTTTTGAACCTTCATATTTAACGACCTTATCTTGTTCAGCTGAAACTGGTGGAGCTGTATCACACTGTCATTAAGTCATCTGGTTTTAAAACCCGACTTGTATCTTACATGGTAGTTACGGAACTCTTTGTTGAAATTCTATAATCAATGCAAAACTGACATACAGGGATTTAAAACCATTGTCAGAATTTGGCTTTTTGGTCAGAACAAAGGTTTTGGAGGGCTGCTCTGTCTTTGTTCAAAGCCATTCTGACATCCTAAACTTTAGCTTTTGACCCAATTTTTTTTTAATTCTTTTAAAAACCTAAACTCTAACCCAATTTCTTTCATAAAACCTAACTAAGCCCAAATCCATATTTTAATTTGCCTCTAAACCAAAACTTTCATACCAAACCCTAGTGAAACCAAAAAGAAAAGAGGAGGAAAAAAAAAAGGGAGAGAGCAGCCGTAAAAGAAAGCAAGAGAAGAAGAAAAGAAAAAGAAGAAAAGAGAGAGAAGAGAAGAAAGAGAGAAGAGAGGAAGGGAGAGAGGGGCTCACCGTTCACCACCACCACCGCACCGTCTTCGTCTCCTCTGGTCACCACCTCCACCATCACAAGCTTCACGTCCAGAGAAGGATCCACTGCCACCAGATCTTCTAATCTGCCACCGCCGCAGCTGTTGGTTGCACAGAGAAGAGGAGAGGCCTGGAGAAGAAGAAAGGAAGGAGAAGATAGAGATCCGAGATGAGGTTTTTTGAGGAAGATTCCCGTCGCTTCAGAGAGAGTTAAAACGTGATCAAGGTGTCTCTGGAAAGAGCTCGATGCAACGAAGCCATAGAAGAAAACCGCATCGTCATCAGAGTTACGGTGAGGCTACAACGAAGTTTTCTTCCTGTGCAAGAATCATCTGCGTCATCCTGCAACCCAGAAATCTGCTCCGACGCAGCAACTTTAAAAGAATGTACACAGCTCGTCTGAAATTAGATCGAGCAGAAATTTTGTGGAGGGCTTCACGGTACATCTTTCTCCAGTTTCAACGGTGGGATTTAGATTTCAACGGTTGGTTGTCGAGTTATCAGCGTGTTTCTGAGGCAGCTTTGAAGTGTTTTTAAGATGGGTGTTTTCCAGCTGCAACCATTTTTTGACCACCATATTCTCCAAATGCTATTCTAGGTTCTTTCAAATTAAAGTGAGGACAATTTTGTGAATTTCTAAAATATATTAATTGATTTAGTAATGTGTGTATGCTTAGTGTAGGTATTAAACATGATTGATGATTAATATTGATAATGCTGATTGATATGTGTTATTGATTGTTTATTGATGATAATTAATAATGAGAAATACATAAATATGATAATAAACTTTTAAGTTATTTAGTAGTTAATTGAAATAATATTTATTTGATTACAATATTGTTTAACGGCTTACAACAAAGAACTGAGATTGTGAAGTTGTAGTGATCGATAAATTGTTTGACAGCCTACAGTGAAAGACTGAATATTGTGAAGCTGTAGTGATCGAGAAAGGGCTGACGAGCCATAGTCAAACCCTGTTGAGGGTGGTGGCACCGGTAACTTGTCAAGCCCAGAACGGGTGGTGGCAGAGAATGAGTACTATTGACAGAAGTTCTTTGTGAATGTGTTAGAGGATCTCTAAGTTGATTGATTTGAATGATTGAATGATTATATTTATTTATTAATATTAGAATCATATTTATTATATAATAATAATAGTTATTTTATGTTGATTGTTGCTTGAGTTTGATGCCTATATTATGTATACTCATTATTGTTATTTCAAATAATATGTCAAAGAATCTTGTGTGTTCCAAGAGCACACCCTCACTGAGTATTTTTCCCCGAATACTCACCCCTCTCTTCTTTTTCAGGTGAGACCGAAAAATAGTACTTGTGACAGTTGTTGCGGTGTTATGTCCAGAAGTCAGGGACGCATTTTGTAATTATTTTTAAGAAGAATTTTAATTAAATTATTTTTAGTTTGTTTAAATATTTAAGATTTTTCGAGTTCTCGATTTATATATTTTTAATAAAATATTTTTGATAATAAATGATTATTTAATGTGTTAGTTATTCTTTTTAAAAAGCTGTTAAACGAGTGTAATACAAGTTAAGTTATATTTGCGAGATTAGGGTGTCTCACATTACATTTGTTGTCCTTGAATCATCTTTGTACTTGAAGAAATATTTGTTCTGCAATATGAAAGAAATATCAAAAGTGGAGGATTAATCTAAAACATAGATGTAAGTATTCCTAAGTACATGTCCGGTTCCAAAAGCTATTTGGTACTTTTTCTCGTTGTTGTTTCTTCAAATCTTGTAGATGAGCAAATGCTTCCTGGCAAACAGCACCTACAGTTCTGTATTGTTCTTGTAATTTATTTGCACATCCCATTCCTCATCACACTTTTTTAGCAGTTTTTGCCACTGCTTGGGCTTTTGAGAGATGTTTTTAAGCAAGTCTAGCATCAGAACTGCAGAAAACAGTTAATCATATTGGGTCACCCAATTCCATTTAGGATAACTACATATAATAAAACGAAAGCAAGTCTCCTACAACATATGAATCCTTTCTGAAATTTCTGCATCGTTTATGTGATTACTTCAAATCCCAACCCATGTATTTGGAAAAATTTTGCTTTTCAGTTGACCCAGAAAGAGCTTAATCCCATCTTATTCCCATCGCTCATACACAGAATATTACATTAAACTATGTGAAAAATGCATTTAAGAAAATAACTTTTAAAGAAACAGTAAGGAGAGTAAGCTCACGAATTCCTAAATTTGTCATAGACCAAAGGTTTAGTCTCATCCCATTACTGAATTATGTCTCCAATTCGATCAGATCAGAGCTGAAGGATCCCATCACGGAATGCGAGCTTTTAAGATAAGATCCATGGGTAAATATTAAATTCGATAAAATCAGTCACGAGCTTTATCCCACTTTGGGGTTGCCTTACTTCAACATGTATTCACCTTTGACAGAAGACTACTCCAGCAAGTCTCTTAGCTCGCATCTTCACTTCATTAGAGCATTATTATCAGTAACACCCATATGGGTCTTTTAAGGCATAGTCAATATTATTTCGTGTAGTGAAACTTATATAAGAAACCTAATAATTTTTGCTGTGCATTGGTAGAAAGCCAAATGGGTTTCTTAAAAAAAAATTAATAATAATGTTTTATTATAAAGAAAGTTAATTATATAATTTAAACATATTTAGAGTTTAGGGTTTATGACACATATTTATAAATATTTCATCTCACCTCTCCCAATATTCCAGGACATGTGTAGAACTTCCTTCCGAATGTCGCTGCAGCTGTGAATTCTTCAATGATTGGGGTTCGGCCACAATAAAAAAAGGAATCCCAAAATTCCCATCAGTTCGAGCACAACTACTGTTGAAGCTTGCTACGGAAGATGAATTATTGTTGTAGCTGATCGGTATGGTGCTGAACAAAGACAACAAAACAAGTTAAACATATTCGATTTAAAACCAGAGAACAAAACGAACAAAAAGAGGAATTTGAGTTTAAAAAGTAAACATCAAGAACAACAAAATACCTTAGCAGATTCGATTAGAAAACAGACGTACAAAGTTTCTCGCAAAAAAATCAACTCTAAACCCCGAATTTTTCAAAACCCTAAAGCACTTTCAATCGATTTCCTACTCAAATACTACCAGAAAATTTGATTAAAACTGAACCAAATCAACAAATCAAATACCCCATCGATCATTAACTCACAACTCTCAGAGAAACAGAAGATCTAGGATAGAGACTGAGATTAGGTTAACACCAACTACGTGGATAGACCGTCGCAGAGATCCAGAAGCCGCTGGAGAAACCACAGCTGTCAGAGAGAACCTGTGAGAGAAACTGAAACGTCGAAATCACCTCCCAAATCGCCTTCGACGGAGAGACTAAAGACTTGTCGGAGAAAGAAGTTTTTGTCGGTGGGAAAAAAATTTCTGCAGAGAAAATCTCCATTTGTTTCGACCCACTCACAAAGAAACGTCTGTTGTTGTCGCAAAATAAGAAACGTTTTTACAAGTTTTGGACTGAACTTGATTATTTTTATTATTTTTTTGGGCTCAGAGACTTGGACCGTCTCTGGGATAATGATGCTCTTATCGTCTTTCACTTATTCGGCCCTTTTACTTCTAGCTGACTAAGTCTGATTTACTGGGCCGGGATTTGCACACTCAAAGTAAGATACTCGTTTAATAACTAATTTTTTTTTTTTGATATGTGATTGATAATTTTTCACCAATATAAATATTTTTTTTGAAATTCAGCTAAAGCAGTACCATTTTCCATAAACTGATTTCATCTTGTAATAATCTTTGTAAATGACGGAAATAATATTCATACAAAGTGATCGAGAAGACGATCTAACCATCTGTCTTGATTACTTTATTTTTTCAATAGAAACATAAAACATGATGAGTTGATGACCAACTATCTCAAATAGAATATTAACTTCTCTAGTAACCAGCGGAATTATCCACTTTGGTGTCTTCTGAGATTTAAACATCACATCTATGCGGAAACATAAGCATATAGCTTCGAGTTACTATGGTGTCTGCCTTCATTGACCACCTGCAAACCATAAGTATATACGTTAAGTTAATACTTTGACTGTATAGTAGAAAAACTGAGTCATGAGTGATGAGTCATTAGGTGATAAAGATAAACCTGTGTCTACACAAATGATGAATGAAAATTGCCATCAACAGCTTAGCAAAGTAAGCCCCCACACAAAGTCTAGGGCCAGCGCCAAAGGGGATGTAATTTTTGGAGACTAGCGCACTTAAGTCTTTCCCCTGTTAATTTAGTTTAATATATGTTTTAAGTTTCTGGAGTTGATTAGCGGAATTCGAGAGTAAATAATATGATAAAGATCAAATTTAAATCACCTTCCAGCGCCATGGATTAAATACTAAAGGATCCTCATACTTTTCTGGATTGAAATGGACACTAGCATAGCCCATGAAGGTCCAACCAGCTGGAATTGTATAATCACCGACTTTGATGTCATGATCAGGTATTCTAAGCACTACAGGCACTGTGGTTGTGATCCTAAGTGACTCATTGATCACCTGAAACAAAACACCGTTTATGTGTGAACTAATTAAAACCAATTGGCAGTGAGCAGAATGTTAGATATTCTATATCACATATACATGATTTCTGTATCCTGATGTTATATATACATACCATATGAGTAAAAGTCATCGCTTTGTAGTCTTCCCATCTTAGGCCAGCCTCCTTATCAGTCATACCCCGGACAATTTCTGCATGCTCTCTTTGCAGCTCTTGCATGACTTGAGGGTTTTCGCTAATGAGCTTTACTGTAGCCGCAAGAATCCGCGGAGTTGTTTCGTTAGCAATCAGAAAGAAAGTATATATGTACTCAATCGCGTTCTCCACGCTCATTGTTTCCTTTCCTCCATCCTTTTCTCCAAATATGATCTTAAAAAACTCTCCGAACTCCTCTCCTGATGCTCTCTTCTTCAACACTAGATCCTTTAGTAATTTCATCATCCTCTTTCTCACCTGCCACGAAACAGTCACCATCACAGCCTCCATTTTTTTTGTACTAAAGCCTTATGTGTATATAGTGCTAGTAAAGTTACTGAAAAAACTTACCTTCATCATATTATATACACCCATCCCAGGAAAGTTGAAAGGGAAACGAAACCAGCCACTCAGAAAATTTCTCCAACAAAGTGCGAGTTCTTTAGCCGCTTCTGGTTCCAAGTCACCCATAACTTTCTTTGCAAGGCATTCAATTAATATCTATAACATTTGATGATACGAATAATTTTGGTATACCTTATCTAGTTGATAATAATATTGCCAAGCGACAAAAAACAACGCCAAATGAATTGTTTTTTTGTTTACCTTGCTTAATGTTTCCTTGACGTCAAGGAAGCCTTTCCTAGCTCCTTCCTCCATGTATTGGCGAGTCAAGAGATCGATGTCTCTCATAATTCTCAATTTTAAACCTTGTGAACCCAATAACTGGAATGTCAAGCTCCGGACATGTTTATGGGATTCTATGCTCTGCACAAACAAGTTGTTATCGCCAAATAGCCGTGTTATGCTCTTCGGGACACCAGGAATACGAGTTGTCTTTGCTATCTCCATATTCAGTTCATTATCCATCGAGATTATAACTTTGCCTCCCAATAAACTTGTCCGAAAAACTGGTCCATGTCTATATTTTTCCAAAAAAAAGTTAAAAAAAAAAGAAAGAAAAAAAGAAAGAAAAAAAGAGGACAAAGCAAAGACAACGTAACTTTCATAAGTTAGGAGGATTAAGAAAAATATATCTAAACATGCAAATGAAATTGTAATGCATGCTAGTAAATAAGGAGAAGAACCTGGGGATTCTCTCCTTGACGAAAGCTGAAAACTGAAGAGCGTCATGAAGTTTCATGAACTGAAAAGTCTCTCCAATGATCGGAAACCCCATTGACCCTGGAGGAAGTTTTCCATTACACTTTGGGTTGCTCCATTGATAGATGCAATGACATAGCTTGAGCACTATGATTGAAACTATTACAATCCATAACTCATAAACTTCTACCATTTTCATTTATCTGTTTCTTTCAATTATTTTGGATATATATGTTTGTTTGAGAGTTTCAGCTTGTATAGTTAGCTTAGGGAGGAACTCTCTCTTTATACTATTAGAAAAAGGTATAAAGAGGTAGAGAAGCTCTTTATTTAGTTATTGTCAAAGGTTCTTTTTTTTTCAAAGTTGAGATCCCACATCTCTAAAATTATATGAAATAAATTAACTGAGAACCTTTGTATGTTAAATAAATAATTTTTCTTTTTTGTTTCTTTAGAGAGATTTTGATAAATATCCAAATCTTATCAGAAATTTGAAAAGTAGACTTACTTTTATAGTAATTTGACAAATATTAATCACCAACATAATTTATTATTTACCTAATCATTATATAAATTAATCAATTTTAAAAATAAAACTTTAATCTATAGTATAGCCTAAAATAAGTAATATGAAATTATATAATTTAAATTCTGAATTAATTTTAATTTATTTAAAGAAAATTATTTATTATGTTTGGACTAATTATCATCTAAATATCGAGTAAATAAACAAAAAAATGAACTTATAATTTGAAGTTGTAATTAATATATTTTAAATTAACTGTCCTGTTATCTAATTAATATTGACTAGATTTTTACCCGTGCTATGCACGGGTTGAGTTTTTTTTTGAAATGTTTGTTTTTCGATTTGTTAATGAAAAGTATAGTTATATATGGATGAGAACTTTATGAAGTCGGAGATTTAAAAATTTTATTGTGTTTTGAGGGATTTTATATATGAAAATAAACATTGATAATAATATATTTTAAAACTTCTGTTGGATGCGGTAATGATAGTCAAGATTTTTTTTGTGTGCTTGTGAATAGAGATTGAACTTTAAATTTATATATGTTAGACAATATAATAGTTTGTGAATGAAATGTATATTATATAGATAATAGAAAAGTTTATTATGGTGACGATATGTTTGAAAGATTGTTGATGGTTTGCGATTTATATCTCGCCATTTTTACTATTTTTCTTATAAAAATTTGACAGACTTTAGTTTATTTTAACTATTAGACTTTACAAAATTTTATTTCATTTCAAAATCTTAAAGTTCTAATTTATCTAATTAAGGTTTAGTACATTTAAAGCCTTTAAAATTCTACTAATTAACATGATCTAATATTGTCTTTTTGTTTCTATTATGGTTTATTTTTAGAAAGCCAACAAAATAAAACTGTATTTATTTTTAATTGCTACCCATTTTCTTAAAATCATGTTTTCCACAATATTATTTGAAGTACGTTAACAACCTATAGTCTTTAAATTTAGAGTTACTACGTATCACCTCTCGATTAAATCAAATAATTGCAGCTGACAATAATTGTGTGAGTGATATGTGAACAAACAAAAATTCTAGCTCAAACTAATAGTTTAAACTTTACTGGTATTGTGATTAATAACCTATATTCTTATGTTACTTGCTTATACACCTATTTTTAATGAAAATGTTATTTAACATATCTTCAATATGCCTTAAGAGCGTTCATATTCGTGCAGGCCAACCACATATCCGCTCTTAAGACAAATTGACTATATTATTAAAAACTTAATTAATATTGTAACTATATATGTTAGTATTATATCATTCATATTTTATACTTTTACTAAAATATTAAATATGTTTTATAATGCATAAGTAAAAAAGTGAAGAAAAAAAAATAATTGATTACACATTCCACCATTTTTACAATTTCAGAATATTTGAAAATAAAAAAAAATTGATCAAGCCAGAGTAAAGATCATTGTTGGTAACTCAAAGAAGTTTGTTATGAATCCAATCATCTTTTTTTATAACATCAGATTTTATATTTGTTAGGCTATTTATTTTTAAATCACTACCCAGTATTTTAAATTCTTAAAGTCAAATGATCTATAATGTTTCTTTTAAGTACATTAACAACTTAAAGTTAAAGTTAGAGTTCTTACATATCACCTATCTATTATATCAAATAACTTCTAGCAAAAAAAAGAGAGCAAATTTAACCCAAAATAATCTTTTAGACTTTTACCTGTATTTTGATTATAGACCTATTGTCATATGTCTCTTCATTATACACTTACTATCAGCAAAAAAGCTTTTTTTAACCTTAATTTGCTTTAAGATCGTCTACGTGGTTGGCCCGCACATGCGTACAGGCCATCTATCTAACCGCTCTTAAAATATATTGACTATAAATAATAAATCTTTTTTGTCATAATATTTTTATATCATTGTAAAAAAAATTGACTAATATTATAATTATATATATTGTTAACATATATTATTTTAATATTCATACGTTTACTAAAATACTTTCACATTTTTTAACACCTTCAACTTCTTATCTCTTTTTCTTGTTTGTCATAGAAAGTTAAGAGTTCTTCGATAAAAGAATGATAATAGGGTTTTTAAATAGAAAATAATTACTTTTTGTGTTTTTTAAAGAGAAATATCACTAGATACCAACAGATAATTTGGAAATTGATCGCCCCTGAAAAGCGACTTTGACCAAATACTGTAGTCCGCGAAAACTCTATTTAGCCCCTAAAACATATATTACGTAGATGTGTTTCTCTTTCATGGCATGGGCCCTGGTATCTGAAAAAGGTGTCAGTAAAAAGTTTTATGTCTGGACATACGCAACCATTTGCTTTTGTCGATATGTTTTAGGAGAAAGAGAAACTCTTGAAACTGATATTCTCTATAACTCACATCTAACTGAATTTACATACACACTTCAAAACCGATATCATCTTCCATCGTTTTGTCTCCTCTAAACTTCTTTTCAAATCTGTTTTTTTTTTTTCCAATCGGTGTCAGCCGGATTCCATATCGGTGTGAGCCTACTTACTCGAATAATTGGTATATAGTTTTCTCTTTCATCATTCTCAAAGTTTTTATATAAAAAAAGAGAAATTCTGGATTTAGGGTTACATCTGAAGTTGCTAATAGAGTTATTGTTGCAGGTTTAATGGCGGATCTGGAGATTCCTCAGCGAATTCTTGCCGCCGATTATGTCCCCACCGCTGATTAGGGGCTAAATGGGGTTTTCGCGGACTACAATATTTGGTCAAAGTCGCTTTTCAGGTTACATCTGAAGTTGCTAATAGAGTTATTGTTGCAGGTTTAATGGCGGATCTGGAGATTCCTCAGCTTGCCGCCGATTATGTCCCCACCGGCGAGAGAGTGAATATATATCAAAAACTCTCTGTGCTTTCAGATATCGAACATGCACTTGACGACGAGGAACGGAAGTTATAAGCCATTTAGAGGAAAAAAGAGTCATATCATTCCGGAATACAGTGGTGTAGTTCCATGTGTAGATAATAACTAACTGTGTTATATCGTTACTTATTTTGTCGCTAACATTGTTTTGTAATCTGGATTAGGATAATTACACTAGTTGGAGCCAAGAATCGTTAATTATATTATCACTAAGTTAGGATAAGGTAAACATTATAACATTGTCTAGATAAATACATGATAACAACATTATCAACGTTAAAGTCCGAAGACATTCAGTGCACATGATAACAAAGTTAACGATCGAAGACATTGCATTTGCAAATCACATAAGGGTGTAATTCTATGTTATATTATCACTAAGTTATGATATTATAACATTTGTCTAAATAAATACGTGATAACAACATTATCAACGTTAACGTCGGAAGACATTCAGTGCACATGATAACAAAGTTAACGATCGAAGATATTGCATTTGCAAATCACATAAGGGTGTAATTCTATGTTGTTAACAACGTTAACGGTAAAAAATATTGTTATATTAGCACTAAGTTAGGATAATGTCAACATTATAACATATGTCTAAATAAATACGTGATAACAACGTTATCAACGTTAACGTCCGAAGACATTCAGTGCACATGATAACAAAGTTAACGGTCGAAGACATTGCATTTGCAAATCACATAAATGTGTAATTCCATATTGTTAACAAAGTTAACAATAAAAAACATTGTTATATCGATAACTTTTATCGTGTTAACAATATTATATATATGATTAGCAATTGCCAACACTATTAAATATGTTCGCTTGGTTATTTACAACCTTTTTACGCCATATGGTCTTGTTTTAACTCTTGTTTAGTGTTTAGTGTCTGGTTTTAGAGTTTATTGTTTACTGTTTTGTTTATATGTTAATGATATTTAGTCTTACAAATAACTAGTATAACAGTACACAGTTATCGTCCATTTTTATTAAGTTAGAGAATACCTTTGATATGTTAGGTTTATCGACATTTGTAAAAAATTAGATAATGTAGTTAACAGATAGTTACGATAATGAGATATTGTTTGTTCCCTGTAAAAATTTGGAGATGTAAAAAAAAAATTGGAGGTGTTAAATTTTTTAAGTTGTAATTTCGTTTATCAATGTTTGTTATCTATTTTTCACCACACAATAATATGATACACCAAATCTTTTTACAGGCGACCAGGTTGTTATTTATGCTATCTCTGCATCTTTCTGACAAGCATTTAATGCTCCTATCCCCTACTAATATTTTTTTGTCAGCTGCAAGTTGGTATGACGTAATAGAAGATAGGGGTAAAGTGGTGATAAAAATTAAATGTGTCAGTTGCTAACTAATTTTCGATTATCTTTTGGTATATGATTAATTTCCTGGTCAACTTTTGGTATAGAGTAAATTGATCCTTTTTCAAAAGACAACTAAAGAGATGTTGAGAGATATCATACAAACAAAAAAAAAGCTGTTGAGAGATGTCAGTGCAAATGCTAAGATTACACTCTACACATAAAATATTCTTCTCGCTCTTCTTAAGAAATTCATACTCTAAACGAATTTTCTATGTGTCTTCTATATATTCTCTATATATTGCATTAAGAAAAAACAGAAAAAGAGTTTTCCACAGAAAAAAAGGGAACAAACGGTTAACCTACAAAAAAATGTATGTCATAAAACTTGAAACTAACTTACATATTCCTAAACGATTAATAT